ATTATTTTGCTGATGTAAATCATCACAGTTCTAATGGCATCAGTCATGTCAACTAAAGAGCAATGTGACAAGCAGTTCTTCATAGCAGCTGGCTTCTCATGTGCCCAGCTCGGATATACTGCTCTGTTAGAGCATTGTCTAGGGTAGTATGAGCCCAGTTGCAGCTGATTAAAGATATTTACACATACAGAATAAATTCAGGAGTTGTTCCAGAGGTTATGCCCCACTGTGCTCAGAAGTTATTTTACATCAGGGTGACTTAAGTCATGAGGAACAGCTGTGTGAGCATGACTTGGCTCAGAGATGCCTTGGGGATATTCTGGACATCTCACCATACTGCTGTGTGCCCACCAGGCCTGTTTGTGGGTCCCACACACCAGATGTCACCATTCAAGCACTGGAGAGCTGCTAAGTTCTGCCTTTCGTGTCTGCAAACACTCACAGCTAATAAGCCTGGCAAGTGTGTGAGGAATCATTTTGCAGCAAGCCCTGTATTATATCCAGCCATTATACTTGCACATGACCCCACACTAGGCTCTTAAATTTTCTTGTCCTCTGGACAGAGGCAAAGATGAATTCCTGGTACACAGAAAACACATATCCCACATCATCCTGTTCCCATAACAACAAGCTGGATGGCATGAACCAGCTTTTTCTTGGAGCTCACCCGCAGCAAAACAAGAGATCAAGGAGAGAAAACCCATGACTCCTGGTAGGAGACAGCCTAGGCAGCCAGGAGCATCTTGCTTCAAAGGTGCTGCCAGACAAAAGAGCTGCAAAAATCTGAGCCAAGGCCCCCCAGTGGGTTGGCTGCTGTCCTGAGAGCCCTCGGGCAGTGGCCACACTGCAGAGCAGGCTAAGCATCTCTGTGTACTTCATTTAAGTGTTCTGTTGTGCCCAAGGAGATGTTTTTCCTTTTATTGCTCCTGCAGAACACTGACACATGGAGCAGAAACTTTTCATTCTGAGTTCCTGGTTTGCTGGAGAGGCTCCAAACAGTAGCATCCATCAGTGAAAACGCTGCCTTTCTTTCCTGTTGCTCCCTGAGGAGATTGCACCCGCACCAGCCAATATTTTAGATCTACAGCAATTAATTTTGCATGATTGTCCCTTCTGGCCCCAGACTCCTACTTATCCACCATAATGTGAGCAGCCCAGAGCAAATTCAAAAGAACAAGCAAACAAACAAAAAAATAAAACACCCAACAAAATAAACCTCACTGTACACTGTCCTTATGAAGAATTGTTCAGCTATTATTGTCTAGCACAAGGAGTGTAATACATTTGATCATGCAGAGAATTGGTTTGCTGTCGAATTTCTTTGTAAATGTGAGAAAAGTTTTTATTTTTTACTGACAATCTCATTTGGATATGATTTTTTCAGTGAAATCCTAGCAAGACTTTCCTTATGTAACCAAAGATCTTAGGAAGGTTTCCTTTGTAGTAAAACTTTTGTCACAGTGTATTTGCAAAACTGTTGTAATCAATATTGCAAAAACCTATGAAGTAAAAATCAAACAATACATTGTAAAGCGCAAATTACAAAAAACTTTCCTGTCCTCTTGAATACGTGAAGCAAATTGCAAAACAGTATGGATGGCACTGTGAAGGTCAGGCATGTTCACACATGAGCATTTTAAATACAGAAAGTGCTGTTAGAGGTGGTTACATGTTGAGGTCTGTCTCCCCTGTTCCTTGGTTAGACACCTGCACTCAGTTTGATGAAACAGCTGGAGTTACTTTTCTGATCAAAAGCAGCACCGCACCTCTCACTCCATCCTTACAGTTTGCACATGCAGAACCATTCTTTGCTGTGGCACCAGGATCCTTCCTCACCTCCATTTTCTCCAGTTTATTCTGATTGTGCTGCTAATGAGACACCTTTTTCCTGACCTGTGGCCTCCTGACTGCCTCGTGCAGCCCCTGTGATGTTAAATGAAGTAAGGCGCAGCGGCAAGCCAGCAATCAAACTACTGAAATCAACCTCTGCAAGCTAGGTGGGCTTCATTAACAGCTTTTTATTCTGGGCAGGACAGGAAGGAAGGCAGAATAAGGGAGCTGGTGTTTGCCAAGGTCAGAGCTGTATGCTGGAGATGGTATACTGAAATCTGGTGTGAAAGGAAAAAACGTGTCTTTGCAGCCATAGTAATAAAGCATGAGCTGCTTGCCTTTCTTGATTTACATTATCTGTAACTAGTATCAAGATTTTCAAAGATTAACAGAGATGTTAACAGCTGTTCAACATCTGGCAAGCCTAGAAATTAGGTAGCAAGAAACAAGAGTCAAAATGGTGCTGTTCTGAGGAGCTGATGGAGGTCTTTTTAAAGCCCCAATAGTTCAGGGGCAGAAGTCACTGTAACAGCATGAGGAGGAATTAAATTAAATTAACAAGAGACCACAAAAAAAGGTAATTGGGAGAGCGTGGAAGGGAAGGGCTGGGTTTATTTGAAGAGCTCATTAAGGAGGGACTTACAAGGAGCAGGCTCAGTCAGTCCCAAAGGATGATGGAAATGGGAATGTAACAGTAGTTCCTGGAGATGAAAGCAGACACTGGTACTGGAGACCAGGAACTTCCATGGCTTCTATTCATGACCTTCTTCATCCTCCAGTGCTGCTTTGCTACTTGCACTGTAAGGACTAATTAAGATTTTGCTCCGTTTTTCCTACTGCCTAAATCACATTATTAAAAATTCTTGGGATTATAAAACTCTGAAAGTGATTGATAATCCATGAATTAATCTATCCAAAGTGGCATGGCTTTTTCTGCTGTGTATCACTTAAAAGTGGAGGTCACCATTTAGGCAGGAGCACTCTGCAGACTGAAAAGAGTGGATAATGGGATCTTCAAACTAATTTGACTCTAGATGGGGAACGTGGGTATCCTCGTCTGGCTTTTACTAGGGGCCCTATCAGAGAGTGTGGGGAAGAACCCCATGGTCTATAGGTGCTGAGCAGCACAGGAGCAGAGGGTACATATAATAACAAGAGCATACTTGGAGGAAATCTCTGTCCTCTTATGTGGAAGCAATGACATGGTAACATGCAGTGAAAGCTTAGTTTAAATGCATCTACTTCATGGCAGGTACCTCACTAAACGCATGGAAGATGTGATCCTCATTGCAAATCACTTCTGTGGGTAGATAAAACTTCTTCTGTTAGAAATGTCCTAGTGTGAACTGTGACAGAACAGTTATCTGAGTCCTTCAATCCCTGTTTTCTTGGAAACAGGAAGACTTCTGGGGAGGGTTTTTATTCTTCCTCCTTTTACTATGATGTTTGTTTCTGTAGAATTCATCCACATGCTGGACCTCATCCTGAATATCTCTCTGATGCATCCTCTTGAAAAGCATCATGGCATGGTGGATTAAAAACATTTATAATACAGTTCTTGCACTCACGTGTGGTGAGGCTAAAAGTAGCAACTTTTTCTTTTTGGTTCTTATGTGATGCTAGAAATGAGATAGTTTTAATTGCTTTACAGTCCTAAAGTGAAGTCTCCCATTAGCATCAGCTACTGTATCTTAAAGATGGTAAGAGCAAGCACTTAAATAGCACTTTCTGTCTTCAAAGTACTTTGCAGACATTCTTTACTTCTGAATTAAGGATCATTTTCTGTCACTTTTAACACTTTTCTGAGATAAATGTTCAATCTGCCATGAGAAAGGGACAAAGCTCCTGACTCTAAATTCTACACTGTAATACGGCTGTGTTCTGCTGGTTTGTTTTCTGGGTGTAAAGTGCCCCCAAAGAACATATGGCTGGTATCACCTCTCGTGGTGGAAATCTTCAGACTGTAAAATCAGATGCCTGTAAAGTTTCAAACAGCTGGTGTAGGAGGTGGGCTCCTACCCAGTGCTTGTGCTTCATTCAGCCCTATGCCCTGCACACGGTGTGAGGGGCAAAGGTCTTGAACTGGCACACACATGAGCTCCTGGCTCTGGAGAAGGCTGGGGACACGTGTGCACCAGCAGCTTATCCCCTGTATGGTGAGAAGCCATTGTCAGACATCTCTCATCCAACCTTGCAGAACCAGCTCTGTTTCAGGGAGCTGCTGTACCCAGGGTCGGGGGAACATTCACCGCAGAAGATGAAGCCATGCAGCGTTCTTATTATTGCCTATCAGCACCCAGTAACTCACAGGGAAACTGGTCCAGTTGACAGAGACTGGGGCCCGTCTCTGAGTGACCAAGTTGAAGGAAGAGAAAGCTCTGTTGTGTCATTGGTATCATTGACAAAACTCCCATTGAGTCGGATAAGAGTATGAGGATGCCCAACAGTGCTGACTTCTGATGTCATCTCTCTGGTTTACATTGTTTTGCAAAGACCCTTTTGTGCTTGCTCTGTATTCTGAATATTTGGGTCATTCCTATGTACAGAGCCACCATTTATAATTAGATTGTGAGGTTTGTTGACCCTATTATGTACAGGTTGACTATCAAGTCACACTGATCCTTCAAGATAGGAATTAATAAAAGCCACAAGAGGAGGAGGAGGGAAGTGAGTGGGATGAGGAGGACGAGGGTTGCTATTGTTCTGCCCTCACTGCTGCCAAACAGTCCCTTGTTTTTTTTCTGTGTCTGCGTGTTCAAATGCTGTGTGAGCAAACAGGGTGCAGTCAGGAGGCTGGCGAGAGGGCAGCAAGAGGGTTAGCTGGATCCTAGCTAGAAATACTTGTGCAAGTCAGGAAGCAGGCATGGAGGGAAGGAAATTAAGTGGAGACATCTGTGTGGCTTAGCTTTCAGCAGCTCTGCCTGGGGTAGGGGTGGGAGAGTCATGCCTAAGATGACATAACGTATTTTGTCTTTCGGGGGTTGGAAACAGAGGAAACTGCGAAAGCAAAGCATGGTGTGTGTCACGCATGGTCCAGGCATACCAAGTACATAATGGAGCAGTGTCAGTGTTTTCTGGTCTGCCTTTCACACCCCAAAGTAACTCTTCAAGGCAAAGAACTGAGAAGAATATGATATGGTCCAAAAACTGATCTTGGACTTTTTTCGCAGACGACTGAGCCAGAGGCCGACCGCTGAGGAGTTGGAGCAGAGGAACATACTGAAACGTAAGTCCTGATTCTGCTGACATTTAACCTGAAGCCAGATAATTTGGTTTACATTTCATGTACTTTGGTATTTTTTATAAACATCAACTATTCTCTGTAGGCATCACTGATAAAGGGCATCATAAGTGCAAATAAGTGTGGAAGTCTGTAACAGTATCTAGAACTCCAGAAGTGGTTCTTTAAGATCAGAGTCAGTAAATTTACAAGAACAAACAACCTATGGAGAAAAAAAAACACATGTTGATTGACATTCCAAACAGGAGGTCAAGCATCCTGAAAAGCCTCCTTTATGCATCACTTATATAGGTGAGCATCCCATTGTAAGTTAGTAAAGATATTAGGGCATAGGTTGATTAAGCTTTCCTAAAAATCTTCCAAGCAATCTATGCTAGCTGGAGCTTTTATTCAATTTAAAAAAGAATCCAGTTCGACTCAGGGTTATTTCCCCAAAATGTTCCCCTGAAACTCTCCCTTCAAATCAGCCAAAAATTTGCTGGTAGATCTTCAGCATGTGGTATTTTAAAGGGACAAAATACCATTCAGAAATCCTGAATCAAGTTAAGTTAGTAGATACATTGCCACTGACTTCCAGGGAAGCTGGACTGAGTCCAGTCCTCATGAATGAGCAGGAAGAAAATGACCGTTTCTTTATTTGCATGTAAGTGTTTTGAATATTAAAAACAAAAAAGCTGTTTATCTAATTGTTGCTGTTACTTTGGAAATAGAAAAGAAAAAAAAAAGAGTTCTTCCCCTTTAAATTAGTAAATGCATATTTACTAACAGTACCTTATACATAACATCTGTTTAGGTAGGTCTCTAATTCATCTTCTCTTGTTCAAATAACTGCATTGTATAGAACCGTAAAAATGTGGTAGCAGAAGATTAATTATCTGAAAATCAGCAGAATTCATTTTTCAAAATCTTCATAACCAAACTCCTGGTAGATTAATGACAGTGTTAATGCCCAGCAGGGTTTTTTCATCTATTGATGTTATTACATGTGGCAGACAGAGACACCACTGTCAATGCAAAGAGGAGAAAAGACCGGACAGCAGAGCAGCATGGGCAAGCCTGAGGCTGCTGGAAAAGTCATTTCTTTGGGACCAGCCCTCTCTTAGTAACTGTGCTCCTACTGTCTACTCCTAACTCTGGTGACTGGCTGCTGGAGGAAGTCAGGGGCAGTCTGGGGAAATATTTGGCATATCCAGCTGTGATTGTCTCACAGGGGCATAGCAGAACAGTGGGAGAAGGGGGGACCTGCGACGTGACAGATGCCAGGCTCAGGCACAGAGGGACAGAGGCCAATTCTCTGGCAGCTCATGTTGTCATCCTGGGACCTATGAACAAACTCATCAGGCACCACCTGGCACTGGTGCAGCAAACAGTGCCCTGGCACTGGGGGAGGTGGGGTCTTGGGCACCTGCTTTGAACCAGCATCAGCAGGGAGAAGCATCTCCAACACTGGGTGCCTTGCAGACATTCATAAAAGACATGTTGCCAAGCTCAGCACTCACAGAGTGCCCTAAAGATGTCTTATATTTCAGAGGAATTATCCCTTGAGTAACATCAGTTTCTTTTTTAATTGAATAAAGGCTCTTAAATGACATGGATGTTTGAAGATATTACCCTGAATCCAGAACCATATTGTATTTCCTAAATGGAATTTTTGTAGCTTGCTTTAGCACAGATCTGCCCCAAAACATGTGTGTCTTGGTAAACAAACAGCTTCCTAATTACAGGAAAGACTAATGTGGTATTTCCAAGGCATTCCAGCTTTTGGTGAACCACAGCAGGAAAGAAAAAAATTAAAATCATTACATAATTTAAAAAAGGAAGCATAAATATGCCCTACCCTTAAACAAGTAAATATAAACATTTTCTGATTTATACATAATTTTGTGCCATTCCTCTAGACTTCTAAGAAAGAGCATTATAATAAATATAATGGAGAGTAGGGAAAGAGAGACTTAGGAAGTGAGAATAAAAAGAGTGTAAATTCTCTGCATAAGCAGGTCAAGCAATTTGCCAAAGCCCAACTCAGAGCACACACAAACACACAAGAAAACTTACCAAGCTCTTGAGTAGACTAAACAGGATTTTCTCTGCAGTTAAAGCTGAAATCTCCCTGACGAAAATACCGTGTCTGGTACCATGATGTTCCTATTACACCTGTAACTGCATTACTGCCCATGCTGGTGGGAAAAAATGAGGCAAAATGTGGTTGGGCAGCCAGTCCTTATACATGAATTGAATGCTTCCTTGGTCTGTGCTACTGCAATAATTGTGAGTTATCTTTACAAGGGCAAGGCATCCATTGCCAAGTTCTGCTACTTGCTGATAGCAACAGTGAAATCACAGCAGCCACAGCAAGGAAGCAGAGCAGAGACAACTGGTTCTAGTAGGGTCTTTCACTGAGGTATACCCCATTCACTGACTCATTTAGGTCAAAGGCATGTAGTGGGAGAAGTCCAGGCCTGCAGGGTTTCTTTGAAGACTAAAGAACACTTTGCAGCTATACTTACTGTCCAAGTGTATAAGGAAAGATGCCTCAATCCTCTGTCACGCACCACCCCTGTGCCACTTCACAGGTGGATAAAAGCAATCCAGCTGCCAGCCTGGCACATTCAGGTTGCATAAATTCCTCACAAAAATGATGGTTTGGTGAGTCCTGAATGCCTCAAACTGTATTGGGGAACATTTCACACTGGCACAGAAATCAGGTGTGAAAATTGCACCTACATCCAACCACTTGCCCTGACACTCAGGTTTAGAGAAACAGACAATCGCTTGAACACATAAGATAAAATAAAGCATCAGTTCTATAGCTTCACAAGATTGGCATGACTTAACTTCAAAGAAATAGCTAAAACAAAGTTACTTTCTAGTTTTGAAGGAGAATGTGCTCCTATTTTCCAGCTTTTACCTGCCTGAAGTCTTAAGCCCGCCTGGTTGGGCTTAGAGTGGGGAGAACAGAAAAGCATCAGATGCCAAGGACAAAAATGAATAGCCATTACTAAGTTTTATGCCTAACTCTTTGGCTGCTTGCAGTTCTACCCTGACTCTGTGTGGATTCTCTTTAGTGCTGTGTCTGAAAGCAGGCATTTGCAGGACCAACTCCTCCAAATCTGAGACAGAAAGGGAAGAAAAAAATTGCTAGAGGATCAATTGCTAGAAGAGTATCCAGCCCAGTAGGGACAGAAAGCACCGAAAGAGGAAAATTACAATTATCAGTGCAGGTACTCCAGTGATTGCTTAAAAAGACAGTTGTGATTCCCTGCTGTCTTACGTTCTTTTTACTCCCCTAGTGGTTTCCTTCCTTCTAAAAACATAAGCAGTATTTTTGGTAAAATGGCACTTAAAGATCAGAAGTGTAGTGTGAAACATCATAACATTGACAGGTTCTTTGTCCACTTCGGTGGAGATTTCCCAGTCCTGCTAAAGTCAGTGAGCAGTTGTGATAGCACTGTCAGCTCTACTGTCCTGAGCAGTGAGTGAATTGTTACTGCTGCTCTGAAGGAGGTGCCTGCTCCATCTGCAGGATCAGCAGAGAGGAACATGGGATGCTCTCTTAAGTTTAGTGCAGTCCAAATTTTAACAATTTAAATCAAGGCACCTATCCTCAGCTGGCCTTTGAGGTCTATCATGTCCCCTGCTGAGAGTTACTCCTGCCTGAGCTAGTCCTAGCTGAGAAAAACTGGATCCCAGCAGGGGCACAGAATACTTACTGGAAAAGCTGATGAGTTGTGTTTGCTTTCACCTGTTATGTGCCGGCATGATTGGAGTAAAGAGCATTTCAGCCATCAGCGAAGCAGTGGAGACAGATCCTAACTGATCAAGAAGCTGAGTACCTGGAAACGTGGGATTTTAGTGACTTTTGGTAAAGGTCAATGCAAAGACGATGCATGACAGCCTGCTCCTAAGTTGAAGAAGAGCTAGTGTACTCAAATGTTATTGAGCTCTTGAGGGAGAAGAGTTGAGGCACGCCCTGGTAAGGACTTGTAGCACGTGATCTTTTGACTTAATGTTGAAAGTTAATTGACTTAGGATGAGCTTCTATGCTCCAGTGTGATACTTGGAAGGCTCATGATGGAAGGACACAGTCTCAAACTCTGCTCATGCCATGGGAAGTTGCATGATTTTCCTGGCACCTCTATTCCAAAGGATTTTTTCTATTATCTCCAAAAAGTAGCTACAAGAAATTATTCTGCAGATGGGAAAAAGATACATGTGTCTCTTTTCCACCTATTGACCTTGCGGAATCGGACCCTATCATAGCTAAGCCCCCTCCAGGCCCGTGGGCAGGGAGATAACATTATTTGAAGAGCTGGCTTGCTGCCCAGCCCTTCTAGAAAGTGACACACATGAAGAGGTGCCAACACTGGGAAAGGAAGGAAGCTGTAGATGTTTTATGAAGTGCGTGAAGAAGCGCAGTAGCTACGGATCAAGGACGTTCACCAGCCCCAGAGGGACATACTGTGCATCAGAGAGGTCCTGAAACATTAATATACTTACTGATGGAAAGGCTTATTTTGTTGCAAACTGTGCATGCCTGATGAGTCCACAGTCTGAGATCCTTGTAAATCTTTTACAGCCCGGAATGAGCAAGAGGAGCAGGAGGAAAAACGAGAGATTAAGAGAAGATTAACACGTAAGGTGAGAAGCGACTTTGATCCTATTATGACACTAGTGTAACTTTCTCCCTACTGCACAGTCGTTCGCCTTTTTCCTTCAGCACCATTTTCAAAAGTAGAGTGTGAAACAAGTCTTACAAAAAAATCTTTAAAAGAAATCATCAATGTTGCAAGGTGTAAGTCCACAGAGAGCAAAAGAAACCACTTTGTAGGCTACTGCTGATAACATTTCAAACAGGAAAAGAGAAGATCTGGTCTTCATAACTGAAGGAGTTTTGAGCAGTGAAGGATAGAGATCAGCATTTACAAGGACCAATGCTTCTTGTAAATGTAATGGCTTCTGTAGCCATTACCGAGAGCTAAGTTAAAGCAATGCTGATTTGAAAATTCAAAAAAACACCTCATAAAACTGGAAGCTAAACATTTTCTGGAAAGGGAGGTTGTCAATTGAGGTATTCAAACTAAATAGAGACAAGCATTTGCAAAAAAGAGTATAGTGCAGAAAACAATCTTGTATTGGCAGGAAAGGACAAACAAAACAACATCACTTGATTCAAAAGTCATTTACTCTTAAAACTGAAGAACGGGCATTTCAGATGTACACATTCAGTTTTGCAGCTGGCATAAATGTCTACGGATGCCCAAACATACACAATGAACAATCTATCCTGCTATTGCAGATTAACTTTCTTTCAGCACTGACATATTTCCTATCTCCAGAAGTAAAGAAAGCCTTCTAAAAACTCACATGCTTGTGAAGCAGCACCATTCCCTTTCTGCACAATTTTAGATGGCTTAGTTTTTTTGACCTATGTGATCACAGCTTTCATGGTATAAATAATAATAAGGAAATGTCTCTAAACATATCTAAAGATATGTGGAAAGGTTATATTCTGAGGACTGAATTGCTTTCTACCACGGTTAAAAATCTTATGCCTTATTCTCAGTTCATGTAAATAGGTAGAATTCTTGGTCACCAGTGGGGGAATACTGTTGTTGTCTGCAGGAGCTAGAGAGCCATAATATTGTTTGTAAAACACTTATATTCCTCACCACGATGACAGGGATGACTTTGCATTCCCTCTTAGCACTGCCTGAAAGAAAAGATCCTAACTGCATTGCAGATGTTTCATGGGATGAGGCTCTTTGCAAAGGCTGGAAATACCATTTTACCAGGCTTTCAATTTCCCTGTACATTGAAGGGTAAACATATGCAAAAATCCAGTGCAGAGCTTGATGCCATTTGAGGAGCAGCTGTAATAGATGTGGAGCAAAGCTCCCCATACCCAGTGTGCCACCTGAGAAGTGAGGGCTTGCTGACTGAGCCAGCACCATCGCCACACGGTTCCCATCCTCCACTCTCCTGTAGGAAAGGTGCAGAACACAGGAATCATCTGTTCAGGCAGAGGCCACAGCTCAGATAAGCACTCAGGCTGCCACTTCTTCACATCGGTGTCTGCTCCCTAAAACCTCACCAGTTTTCTGGGAGATTTCTTGCTTTGTCTTGTTTGCACTTTTAAGTAGAAGCAACAGGGAAAGCAGCATCAGTCCAAGGCCCTGGCATTTGGCTCTTTAATGTTCATACCCCTATTCCTCATCATATACCTTTTAGTCTTATTTTTGGCTTCCTCTCTAGTAAAAATTTTTCTCCCCCACATTGCTGAGTTTGATGGCAACACGACTTAACATAGTTTCATTTGGATCATCTTTTTAAACTGCTGTAAATTGTTCTAGTGACACGTGCCATTTTAATGAAAGAACTGCAGGGCTGATCAAAACAACAGATTTTGTTCTTACCTACCAAACATACTGTCATAAAAGCTCAGAAATCTCTGGGGAAAAGAAGTGAATAAAGTGTGCAAGTGTTTTAGATAACAACTAGAAATGCCAACCACCGAGTGAATCCTGCAAAAATAGTTGTTATTCCCCAGCTGTGTCTTTCATGAGCCTGTCCCAGATGTGTCGTTGTGTATACAGCAGAGTGGCAAGCTCCTTCTGTCAGTTTGTACTGAAGCCTTAGTACCAAAAGATTTTAAATCTAAAGATCAAGCAGAAGTTTAATTGAGCACAGCAAGTGTGTTGCCCAGCAGCCCTTTCTGTATGCACTGAGTTTTCAAGCACACACGTGCCCACAGGGTAAATTCAACATGAGCAAACTCTGCTGTGTTTCCTCTTTTGTAAACGTGTGTAGGTGGGAATAAGAAGAGAAGTAGGTTCTGTAGAAGCCACTGATGAGACTTTTGACCTTGCACTACAGAAACTGCTACTGTCCCCAGTTTTTTTGGTGGCAACATTCCAATTCCAAGGGGAGAACCCACTCCATCCATAAAAAAGCTGTTCTTAAAATTCTGTCAGCGCTGACATTTTGTTACAGTGTTATGATGATAAGTTGTAACATGACATGCTGTAATAAGTAAGATTACCTTGCTAGGTCTAGATGCCTTATTAAAGTCATCAATAAATATCCACTTGAATTCATCATCTGGACAGGTAATTTTAAAAAAAATAAAAAATTACAAAGAAATCAGGTGACCTATAGCAAGCTGTCCCTTGTAGCACTTTCCATCCTCTCTGACTCATCTAATTCCACATTAACTGGGGTGAGGAATAGCTACCACTCAAATTACAAAATGAAGGCACATGCTGTTGGCTAAGTTACTCAGCAGCTCGTGTCCCTCCTGCCCAAGGAAGGAGAGTGAGAGCATGTTTGCCTGTCACCTGAGATGCCCAGCCATCTCAGGTCCCTGTCCTCTCTCTCCCTGCCCCTCAGGCCACCGAGCGCCTTCGGGCACACGGACTCGCGTCATTTGAGTGGAAGGACGTGTGGATTAGGAAGGTTTTTTTCTCTGAGCACTGGTCTTCATCTTCAGTCCATTCAAAGAATTTTAATGTGCAGAAGCCCTCTGGAAGTGCTGCAGATGGGTCACGTCCACAGGGAGATCTGGGCCCCCAAGAATTACTAGCAAGAACGTATCTTCTCTGAACCATGACAAACTTGGCCAAGGACCAAGGCAATCAACACAAGCCTGAATGTCCCCTGAGGACTGCCATTACAGAGAGAGAATTGTAGCCTGGATTAACAGAACACATTACAAGTCACTTGCAAAGTGGAATAGAACTCTTCTTTTCCTACCGTCTTTTTTTTTAAATGGCACCATGCTTCCCAATCCCCAGAGCTGCTTACTGTTTTCTATCCCCCCACTGCCAATAGCTTATTTTTCTCAGAGGTCTAGCTCCAAAAGGAAGTCTCTCAGAGCTGTAATACTGACTACCAAATTGAAGAGGTGTGGCTGTTTCTTAAAATCCCTGCAATAATCTGAAATCTTTGCTCCTGTTAAATTCTTGCCCCAGTCCAATTTAAATGCTCTGTTCACTGGTGCCTCTCTGGGAAATGTCTCCCCTGCTTGAATATGTTCAAGCTTTTCTTTAACTGACCTCCACTGGCTTGCATCAGCAAAGGCTGTTGAAAATAATGAACTCTTGAGAGACGTGGGACTCATCAGAGAGAGGTGAGAGAGAGGCAGCAGGAAGGAGAAAGGTCAGAGGAGAAAAAAAAGGTTAGTGGCTAATTTGGATAAACTGCATTTATAGTCAGAGGGAAAGGTCTTCAGGGCATTTTCTTCACATCCTGCTCCTATATCTTTACTGCAGAAGGTGGGGAGCAAAGGGGTGTGCTGCTGGCTAGGGTTTGTAATTTTTCAGCTTGTTTTCTTCTTTAAATAACAACTGTAACATTTTAATGAGGTAACAGAGCAGGTAATGATGACATGCTAAGATAAACTTCCTTGTGATTGGAGTGGGGCAAACTTTTGCATTTGACTAAATCCCAGGACCAGACTGGCAAGAATAAGTCCCCCTCCACTTTACCTGGTGGGGTGCTTGGGTTTGCTTCATTTCCCATGCCATGAACAAAGAGGGATGTGTTAAACCTTCCCTTTCAAATTGCCTTAGTATCAAAGCCTGGAAAATGCCCATTTGTATCTACAGCACTCCAGAACGTACAGAAGAAAATCTGACCTCCTGTGACAAGGCATGAGAGGTCCTATCCTCATGTACTGCTCTCGCATTAATACAAATCCATTTTGAAAGGGAATTTTACCCTGGTGCACACTCAAATAATGAGTCACTCAGCATAGAACTACCCTGCTCTCTCAACTCCCAAATCTTCACAAATAGATAAATAGAAATGTAAATGCCCAGGTGTTGCACACAGAAAGAGTCCAGACACACTCATGCACGTGCATGCCTTTGACATTAGCAGAAGTAAGTTAAAAAGGGTCCAGCTCAGTAAGAACCCCTTCTTCCTGCTTGGAGCACCACACCGTCTGCAGACAATTGCATCGTGCCCTTGGCCACGTCCTTGTAATTTTTGAATGTGCCCTATTCTTTCTGCCTGTTAGAAGAGCTCATTCTCAGGTGTTGCTCGATAAGGACTCTGTAGCATTAAGCAATTTAGACCCAAGAGACAGACACAGCTCACAGGTCATAAAAATAAACTGCAAGGTGAGATCTCAGATGAGCTGGGCCCTCAGTGTGGACACACATTGGACTAACACCAGCAGTGGGGCTGCTTACAGACCGTCCTGCAAAGCTGATTCCCCAGCTATTCAAGAGTTAAGGGAGCTCTGGGCAGCCCAAACATTTTGCAAGGCTCTCACAGCTAGAAGGTCACAAGAAATCTCTGCAATGGTATGAGAAGAAGGCAGGGAAATTTGTTAACCATTCAAATAATGTAGCTTTAATTAATGGCTTTTAGGAAATTACTTAGTGTGGTTGTCTCTCTCATTACACTTAGCATGATCAGATTGGCACTTTGGTTTAATGTACTGAATATATTTTGTGTGCATGTATTTATATATGGAAATATATGTAGATTTATGGCTACACATGAACTATGTGATTCCAGCTATGAATTTTCAGGACTCTTTTACAGCCAGAGCACTGGCCCAAGAGTCAGTGCTTCTCTTTTCCATTGTCATTCCTGTTCTCCTGTGCTTCTCAAAGGCAGGACATTAGTGCAGCTCTGCAGACTCGCCACATGAGGAGTCTGAACCCAACTTGTGTGTGCATGCTCAGGGATGCTGCTGTAAGGAGAGCAGCCCACTGCCACCTCCCATCACAATCATCTTTTCTAAACAGAGAAGAGAAAGACAACCAACCATGCCAAGAACAAGCACACAGGCTTACAGCCAGATGCAGGATAGGGCAGTGGAGCTCTACCCAAGTGCTGAAGAAAGGAGGGATTTTTCACCCTTCACTTAAGTATCCTGGCTGTTTGAAATCTTAATACTCCCTGGAAGATAAAATGCAGGGAAGTGAGATACTTAATTTGGGAGAAAGGTGGATTCAGGAGCATAAATAATGTTTCAGAATAGAATCTCAAGCATTTTATTAAATATTTAGACCTTTCATCCTTCACAAGGGTAAAGTATTTCTAACATATCTATTTCTAGTGAGCAGGAATAGCATAATACACTGTGTAGGAAATTGTTATCAGGATATTATTTTTCCTGATGTATCCTGGTTACAGATGTTCTACTCTAACAGTGAAACTTACCAGTTAATCTACAGCCACATGCACACATTTATGTAGCACCTACATTCAGAAACAATTGTGTAATGGCTTCTGACGTTCTCCAGCATGCTGTGCATCCAAGGAGAATTGATCCCTGGATGCCAACTCCTGTCCCTGCCCATGTAACTGACTGTGCAACACATGAACTACCAGCACACTAATTTAAGAGGAGTTTTTCACTGTGGCTGCCTATTCTGTTGTGGAATTTGAAAGAAATGCTTGAAACAATGAAGGTGCTTTCCTGACATGATACAATCCACCACTGTCATTTATTTTGGCTTGTAGCATGCAACATAAACTTTTAAAAGTCAAATATTCTGTGATACAAAGCACAGTTGACAATAGATACAGTTAAAAGTTCAATGAGCACTAATCATCCCACCTGCCTTTTCTGGAGGTAAGGACAGATCTGCAGAATATCAGAAGGGTAAAGAAAGTTGTTTTTCACCCTTTGCATGTAATTCAGAGCAGGAGCCACCCCATGCCTTGGCCTGACTCTTCCCAGGCAGTGCAGAAGTATAGACAACAGCAGCAGAAGGCTGGAAAGTGCACACACAGCCTTTGCAGGTCATTTTAGAGTTGTCTTTGTCTCTTCCTGGGATATCAGTGCACTTAGGAGACTTTCTTACCTTACATCTCATTTCTGCCAAGGGTGATCAACCTCTGCTGGGAATTGGGGTCTCCAGCCATAGCAGCTTCCCAAAGAACAGTGGGCTGCTCTGGCAACAAGGTGAGACTATATTCAAGGTGTTATAACAAGAAGACTTTTCCCAGATAGTAATTCTGTGAAAGGCAGATAAAAGCAAAGCACTGGGAATGTCTGAACCCTCTTATTACCGTAACGACAGTTGCAGTAAAATAAATCCCCAAGCAACACTCTGTAGGGAAAAGGCCAAGTCCTGATGTCTTTTTCTACTCCTTCCTCAAACCTGCAGCTGAGTCAAAGGCCTACAGTAGAAGAGCTACGTGAGAGGAAGATCCTCATCCGCTTCAGTGACTATGTGGAAGTGGCAGACGCGCAGGACTACGACAGGAGGGCGGACAAACCCTGGACACGACTCACAGCCGCCGACAAAGTAAGTGGAGCAGCTCTAGGAGAGCCATGGCCTAAACAGCTAGAGCATGTCATGGCAAACAGCATTCCTTGGGTCCCACAGATCCCATGGCTGTCAAGGAATAAACATCCACCTGACATCCCTTCCCAACACACCTGTGGGGTTTTTTTTCCATTCACGAGGTTTGTTTGTTTGTTTGAAGCAGAAATCCTTGGCCAGAAGGTTTCTATATGCATGGAAACCAGGAGAGGGAAGGAATCCCAAGCCCCTTAAGGAAAGGTCTTGATGACAGCCCTGTTAGTTGTTTGTTGGTTTTGGTCTTACCACATTATGCTGCCAGCTGAGAGCTCTGGCAAGACTTAGCAGTGAGACAGGAGCATGTGCCAGAGTGGCTGTGCCAGGACAGGACAGGCTTGAGTGTGAAAATGCCAGCAGGTCAATTTGGCAAAGGTACCTCCATCCCTCCAAAGCCAGGTCACTTCTCTCTAGTGTGTTACAACAGGGGTCTTTGCCCAGGATTTCTGCCACAGAGTATTTTAAGTGAACTGAAATCACACAAGACCTGCCAATGAAAAAAAAGACACATGTTTGGTATTGATGGCAATACCCTCTGAACACTGGTGGAAATTCCACTAAATAGTGTCTCTGTGTGTTGACATTGATGGCAGAGGGATTAAATTGCTGGCAAATTGTATCAGTCACATACTGAGGGTCTCAATGGGACCTCAGGAAAAATATTTAAAAGATTTTATGGACATTGTAAGAAGCGAGGACTATGAGGCTCCGTGATTCAGTCATGAATCTTACAGTCACTCTATGATGCCCTTTTAATTTTAGAGACCTTCAGATATCTGAATTCAAGCCCTGACTATTTCTTTGCCATGGAACTCACTCATTCAGCAATGGAGAGCATGACATCCAGTGTTTAAAGCATTAGCAAAATTCCCAGCCACACCACTCATCTATGATGCTCTTGGTTTTATTCACAACGGACAGCCTGTTTTACTTGTATAATTCAACCAAAGGACTTGTATAGTTTTGTGATATTGTTCTCCTCCTTGATAAAGGGATTTCTTCAGTTTAGCTTTGGTTAAGGTAATGTAGCATAAACTGATCTACAAAAAAAACCTTCCTCACGACTATCCATAGACCATAATATACTGGGTTAAATTAGCTTTTCTTATTTTATATCACCATGTTTGACAAGATATTAGTCAACTGACTTACCTTTATTCTCTTAACTGTTAGATGATGGAGGGAATAAATATCCCAGCTGGTTCTACAGCCTTTGAGAGATCCCTGTCTGGGATGAAAGGCATGGAGAAACTTCAGCTGGGCATGGAGATTTGATCTCTCATCCTATGTGTCTGAAAAGAACAAGCATTGAATACCACTATTAAATGTAACCTAGTAAAGAATTTAAGGCAGAGTACTTTGATGTCACTTTTTCTTTTATAATGCATGTGCAAGTTCAATAGCCAGAGAAAAGTTAATTCCTTCAAATTAGCCTTTTCTCAGCAAAGCACCATCAGAATAAGAGATGTTTGTCATTCTAATATTAGTGCCCTTTATGGCATAAGGAAGCAGATATATTGGTTTTTGTTTGTGTCCTGTGGGCAGTATTGTGATTTCTGCCATTCAGGTGACCTGCTTTTCCTCAACACTATGTCCACTGTTGGAAAAAATAGCCAGAAAAATTGAAACAAAGTTGCATCATCCTAGATCCTAGAATTCTTTTCTTCCAGAGCTGTGATTCAATACCTGTCTTCACTGGTCAGCACATTTATTCAGATTTATTGCAAAAACAGATTTTGGCAATGGGCTTTTCTGTTTGCCAGTAAATCTTGCTCTGTGTGCTGGGTGGAGGGAACTGCCTTCAGTCAGAGTTTGTCTTTAGCAGGTCTGACTCTTAGGGGAAGGAAAAGAGCATTTTTGCATCTCTCCATCAGATGAGGGATGGAGGGGGGAATAGATCTCAGTCCCTGTGGGAGTCAGCTGCCCCTGTGGCCTCCTTCACAGTCACTTCAGTAGCAGATTGGTCTGCTGAAGGCAGCCCTGGAGCTGCTGCATAGCCATCACTCTGTCCTGATGGATGAAACAGTGCCTGACAAGCACTTCTAAGGGAAATAAGAAACCAGAGCTGTGGAGAAGGAGCAGAAAGGGCCTTTTCTGTACAAAAACACTTGCAAAATCCATCACTTCGGGTTTGTCAAAGCAAAGGTAGTTGGCGACTGGAGCAGTGGCTGTTGCAAAACTCCTGTTTTGGGCTTGTGCTACTCATACTAGTTTAGATTTGATTTTACCTTTTTCACTGAGAAAAATTCCTGAGAGATGTGATTACCATTTACTGGAGCAACCCCTTTCCACCTCTGATGCTGAGGTTTTCAGCATCACACAGAAAGGCAGTGCACACACCTTGGACCCATGGGAGCATTTGGCCACAGCAGACACCTTGCACGTCCCCTCCAAATGGTCACAGTGAAACACTCATGAGCAACAAATATCACAGAGCTGTCAGAGGTTTTGACTCTGAGCTTGGGACTTGAGACATTTCTGCTGAGCACCATCTCTACCATGCAGCTGAGTCCCTCCAAGTCACCCCCTCTGGTTTTTATTCTTCAATATTTCTCTTCCTGCCAGTGCCCCTTGGTTTTCTTTTCCCTCACAGACAAGCCATAGAGGCTGAATACTACCACACCGTGGCAGGTTTTCTGCTGGGTTAATCTGTCTAATCACTTCAATGAACAGCACAGCAGGGTCAGAAGGGAGGAGCAGGGCAGAGGGGCACAGCCCGAGGCAGAGTAGAGGGCAGGGAGCCAGGTATCCCTCTTTCCTTCCTAAGTACGATCAGTCGCTTTACGTAACTTCACCTGAGGAAATTCAGGACCAATAAAGGCAGAAGACATCTCATACACAAGTCTGTCAGGATCTGGGTCCAGTCTAGTCACAGTCCAGCTCTGGAACAGATCACAGTGTTTCACAAACTGCAGTGCTCTTTTTGTTTCTTATGCTTGTGCTAATTTGGATTTTGTACATGTAAACCTTTATATAATAAGCCAGAATTGGGTTTTGTACCTGGAGGGTCTGTGATATGTTTTTAAATTGAGCCATTCCACCAAAGCATTTCTCTCTTCCCTTTATGTGATTTAGAACATGCTTATCTCTGTTCCTTTTCATGTTTTAGAGTCTCTATGTTTGTCTCTCTGATAATGTTATCTCTCTGCTTTACTTTTAATATACTGTTTTGAGAACAAAGTGAATTTATTTTGATCTCTCTCATTTATACATTTATGAGTTTCTTTGTCCTTTGCAGGCAGCCATTCGAAAAGAGCTTAATGAATTTAAAAGCTCTGAAATGGAAGTTCATGAATTAAGTAGGCATCTAACAAGGTAAGCTAAGAGATTAATTTTTTAAGACTATAAATGAATACTGTTGTTTTCAAAAAAAAAACAAAGCCAGCAGCTGTTTCTCCAACATGCACTGAGCACACCATGAGGTCTAGACAACACTTAGAATTACAGGCTGTAAAAGCAACTCACAGAGATGAACACATGCTGCCCCATTATGTGGAGTTATGCAGGCACGTGCCATTTAATGAAGTAAAACTCCTTTTTTTTTTTTTTTTAAATCATCATGCTGCATATCTGTTCTTCTGAAATCAAAAGTTAAAAAAAGAGTTGGTGTCTGGAGGAGGACAGGGAACCCTTGCAGAGCATGTAGCAAAGTCTGAGAGCACACTAAGCCCTGCTGTGTGTGCAGCTGTTCCACACCACACAGATCCCACCCACAGGTCTCTCAGTCTTGTCCTCCACATCTAGCCATGCATGACACAGTGGGGCATAGCAAGATACACACTGTAAAGAGGCACTATTATTTACACCTTGGGCTCCTTTTTAGTTTTAAAGGGAGAGGCTGAATGAATTATCCATGAGCCCAAACCAACCACCTTCCTCTCTGACAGGCTAGGGCTGAAGTCGGTCCTTTGCAAATCAGCACTGTAGACTTTAAAGACAAGTGTTGGGTAGTGAGGACAAGCGACAGTGAGATCTGGTGCAAAACTGATCTGCCCTTGTATTAATGTGTTCATCAGTTCAGTGCTCATGAAAAATGCAGGCGGTACTTTTAGGAAAAATACAGAAAAGCTTAAGGCAAAATTAATTTTGTATTAGGGGATTTTTATGTGTATAAATTAATAATTATATTAAAATTCACCACATGTATTATGCATATATTACCTTGCAGAAATTATTTCCCTCTCCACCCTAGCATGTGCTAGGCTGGTTGCACTGGGGTTTGTAGTGATGGAGTGCTGCTGGAGATAAGCCAGCTGCTCCTGAGCCACAAGGTCTGGGAGAAGCCTTAGGATGTACAGTTGGCCTAGATCTGTTGACCCCAGTGACTGAGCCTTTGAGGGACATTTGGCTCCTCCAGGGCAAGCTGACAAATGTAGAAAGGACAAGGCTGCTTTAAAGGGGGTGTTGCTACAAGTAGTCAAGCTCCACTGAGAGCTCCATTGAATTCCATAATGCCTTTAGCATCCCACAATGAAACTGGTTTCATTTTCCAGAAGTCTCTCTGGCTGCTTGGCTTTCACAGGTTTCTGTGCAGCATTTTCCTCCTCTTCCAGTGTTGTAGTGGGCAGTGACCCTTTAAAGTTTGTATCTGAAAGCCACTGAGCAGCATGGACTCAAGTCTGGGCGAGGCATGCAGAGAGCCACAGCTCATACAACAGGCACTGGAATAAGGGTTTGCCTGAAGAACAGCAGGACTTATTGGTTTGACAAGTGGCTTTGGGAAATACGCACTTGAAGGAAACATGCTTCAACAAAAGAGAGTAATTCCCTTAAATAAACTTAGATAAATCACCATTATAAAGTCATTAGCAAGGTAATGAGCTCTTCATGTCATTAAGCAGTGGCAAGAGCAAAGAGTGTGAGTGTCACTTTACTAGTGGGACACATTAATTAATTCATAATAGAGTGAAAAATCAAAGCTTAAAAAACATGTATTTGCAGAACTGACAAACCCAGGCCTGACACAGGGTGCCTTGCAGGAAGAGTGGTCATTTTAGCTCCATTTGTCTCTTTAGCTTCCAGCATTAAGGAATAATCACGGTTAAACTGTATGTAAATCTTCCTGGCAAAATAGCATAAGGCTTGTCTAAACCAGACAATTTTTGTGGAGTCAGGCCTTGTATGGCCTGGAAGAGGGAGAGCTGATCTGCTATCACCCACTCAGAGATCCCATAGGATCTGTATGTATGTACATCTGTATGTATGTATGTACTGAAGTGTATGAATGTCTCTGCTAGATTTTGGTGCAAACAGCTTGTGCCTATGAACTCTGAGTCAGGGTAAAGGTAAGTCAGGTAAGGGCCAAGAAGTGTGAGTGTCTGTTTTGGCTCCTCTTGCCAGCCTGGCTGATGCTGCAGGAATTGAACTGCCTAATGGTGTCACTGTAACAATTAGTTCTCCTATTTTTTTTTTATGTGCAATATACATGTGAGGATATTATCTTACTGTTTCCCTTTTTTTTTCCCCTCTTTGGGTTTTAGGTTTCATAGACCGTAGCAGATCAATTCTACCTGACTACTATGCCATCTTCAAAACATAACTAAAAGGAACCATAAGTGCTGGTATTATTCACTTCCCTGTTACGTACAATGTAAATCTTCCGAACTGCCTTTTTAAAAAAAAAAAAAAAAAAAAGAGTAGAAAAATAAATATTAAAAAAAAAGGAGAATTGTATTTACATGTGATGAGTACTGCAGCATCATCAGACCTGCTGGTTCAAGCTTCAGTAACAGAAAATACCCCTGGTGGGAAATCGTGCCAAGACTTGGCATCTATGTATAGGACTTTCCTGGCATGTGGATTTGCCATATGTGTTCAAGCCCAGCTGGTGGTGCAACCATTGTTGGCTTCAGGCACCCCTCATCCTGACAAGCCTCTGTCATCAACCCTAGAGAGCCCTGAGATGGTGTTCAGGGAATCACTTGGCCTGGGTGAAGTCTCCAAAAGATGAGCCCCTATGGCACTAAAGCACTTACCCCAAACACTCCTTTCAAGTTGAGAGCACCTTATGAGGACAGTGAAGGAGCGGAACTCTCCACGGGCCGACCCATCTGTGAATATCATCTGACTAGAAAGACATTTCTTCCCCTGAAGAAGTTTACAGCCAGTCAGTAGACATTGTTCAGCTTCCAAGCAGAAAAACATACCACCGCTGAAGAACAGGACTCCCTACTGAAGGCTGCTTCAACTCTAGCAACTGTTTGTTTTCCATCTCTTTCAAGCATAATTTTTCAAACCCAGTTGTGAGCCCATTAGCAGTAAGTGACAAGAATGCTGAGGACCAGCAAGCAAAAGCCCATCTCTTCATGGTCACTGCATGCCATCTGCTCCACTTGTAGTTTGTCTTACACCCAAACCTCGTGACTCTGTGAGAGCCAATGTGCCCCCGGCAGCAGGAAAGGCTGGGATTCCCCTCCAGCTCTGCAGAGGGACACGCAACAGGAGGGGCTGGAGGTTCCATGAAGGATATCTAAAGTCTCTGTATCAGGTGTCTCAAGAACTGATCCTAAACTCACACTGTGCAAAGCATGACAAAGTGTGTTACCTGGCCTAACAAAAGGAGTCTGGGGCATTCTTATGGATGGTGGGACTTGTCACTGGTACCCACGGCTGAGGCATGAGGACAGCAATTCAGAGGTGTTCTGAATTTATTTGTTCTAATTTTGTTTTTAATTTATTTTTATTATAGTGGTTTAACACACAAACTGACCAAGCAGAGCTCAGAGAGCTGGTCACTCTGGGCCTGGTTTACCTGCCAACTTAAGCGTGTGCTCTACAGTAAGGAAGCACACGCAGCCTCACTGCTTTCAAGAATATGTCTGACAGGCTTAATTGAACCTGAACACACAATTAAGTGCTTTTCTGAACTTAGGCCATCACCTTCCAGAATTAAGTCCTTAACTACTATAATGCCAGCAAGCTGGGGCAGACATTGTCAGGATTCCTTTCAAGCTCTTACAAGACACTATTATGCCATGTTGTTGGACAGTGTCTGAAAGCACTGTAGCAACATTACTGTAAGAAATTCCAGATTATTATTTCAGGACACCCTTTCTTCCACAATAGCTATTTTCCTTTGACAGTTTGAACAGAGAGGCCAAAGTTTTTTTACTACAGAATAATTATTTCTGTTATTCTTTTACTGATTTTTTCCTTTCTCACTGTCTTCCATGTATCTGTCCTCTCTTCTGTGCTCCCTCTCCAGCTCCCCCTTTTCCGTGCTAACATCGCCATTCACTGATTGCAGGCTGAGCAGCCTCTCACACTTGAGCATTTAATCGCCAGTGCAATGTAGTGCCAACACTCCTGCCTCTTCTCAGGCCTCACCTCACTCCTCTGGATGCAGGAGTACGGCCAAAGGACCTGCATGTAGCCCATGGAGTGGCTCTAGCACCCAGCCTGCCCCAACAACCCTGGCAGCGAGGGTAACACCCTCCAACTACGCTTGGTGGTGGCACTCATTGCCTCGCAGATTGGCTCTCCATCAGAGATAAGCGAAAGCTTTTCATTCTCATCCATGGCCATCCTTGCATTGCTGTGGATTATTGGCTATTAAATTAGGATTGGCTGCTGTAGGATGGAACACCAAAGGAAAGTAAAAAACAGGTGGTTTCTGGTGCTTCCCAGACTGGGTGATGATTTCTGAGGAAACACACCGTGATCCCTGTGTCACCAGCTCACACTTGCTTTACATAGAAGTTCATCAGTAGTGAAAGCCTTCAATGTGCAATGTTAACAGCTCAGTGCAGCAGAGGCAGAGCACTTAATGTACCAGCCAGATACATTATTGGGGTTATCTTCATGAAAAACCTCAGTTCGTTTTTATAGATTCATTCACATACACATGCACACAAGTTACAAGACTGCATCACAGCTTTAAAACAAGGAAAAGAAGCCTTTATGGTTTTGACTGCACAGACACTGCATTAGCAAAGGGCTCTGCAATAGAGCTGCTCTGAAGGACAACAAATCCTTGTGTTCCCAGCATGGATCTCACACATGCCCTGGCATCACTAGCTTAGAGGATCGCTGTGAAATGGAAGGGACACCGTTTAAGGAGCAGTGGTGACAGGAATCACAGGACTTGGTAGGCTAGTGGGAGGGAAAGGTTTCATTTTTATTAAAAATATTAGGAGGAGGGAGGTGGAAGTTGCAGGCTGCTGCTGTCTGTCCATTGTTAGTGCTGGAGTCCCCAGGGGCATGAGGATTCTGAGCACTGCCACTGTCCCTCATGGACACAGCTCCAAGCAGTGCCCACACTGCCAGTCTGGCACCCAAAATAAACACTTGAGCACTGGCTGAGACACATAACAGCCAAGTTCTGGGTGATGGCCAAATATTTCCCAGCACCATCATCCAGATGAGCCCATGGCAGGTCCCTGCTGACCACTCAGCAAGTTGTTTTGCTTAGTCTTACCCCATGATTTGTGCTGTCCCCAGGGCAGCTCCACACAGCCATGCTTTTTTTTTTTTCTTATTTCTTTGGGTTTGTTTTTTTTACTTAACCCCTAACTGAGCAGACACCAGGATAGAAGTGGAAGAATTGCCATATTTCTCCCCAGCTGGAAATAGAGCTTATTCCTGAAAAGGGGGAAGGGGAGGAAAAAGAAGCCATACAAGGTGTTTGACACTGCAGTATCACCAAACTGACACTTCATGAAGCTTTTAGCTTCAGTGGGTCTGGGTAGTTTGCAAAGTTAACATTCATCAAGGCGTTCCACAACAGCCTTTCAGGGCCTGAACATGGCACCGCATCCTCAGCGTGCACACCCACCTCTGGCATCCCTGGGAGGTTGCACACAGACTTGGGAACTGCTGGTCCCTTTTTTTATAAATCTGGTTTCTTGAGAATTGTTTCCTCATCTGTGAAAGCCATCCCTGTCATGGCAAAAAAGCTGTGATTCTCTTGGCACTAAAGAAAAAAAAAAAACAAACAACAAACAGTCATGATTTCTCTCCTTTGACCTGGATTATGTGTAGGACATAATGATGGCATTCCTGCTAAGACTGTGTTAGCAGTCATCCTCATTCTGATTGGAAGGAGATTAATAGTGGTAATAAAGAAACTACACCAGGTTTAGAGAATGGAAAAATCAACAGAACAAAAATTACTATTGCAGTCATCCATCTCCAAAGATAATAACCTAAAGTAATAGAAGCATTTTTGTTATAATATACCGAATCCTGAATACTTGAAGTGTGCAAGTATTCCAACATCTGTTCAGCAGCCTGTGGAATAATGAAGTGGGGACTAAGGGGTGGCTGGGGAGGTGGTGGGGATTGACAAAGCAGTTCCAAAACATCTAGACAAAAAAGTTTTGATTGTTTGGGAAAAGTCATAGTGAGGAAACCCAATAGTGGCATCACCCTCCTACCCACCACCTTCACCAGCAGAGGGTTGCAGGGACCTGGTGACACCATTCTGGTTCGGAGGGAATGTGGACATTGTGGCTTTTTCCCACCCTACACCCACTGGGTGGGTACTTGCAGGCTGAAGAAGTTTCAGGCTGCAGGTTTGCTGGGAAGGGGCTCAGGCCACCTTTTGTGTCTAGGTAATTCCTAGTGAATACACTGGGTGTTATCAGAAGAGAAGGAAGAGGCGGAGGAAAGAACATAATAGACTTTTAGCTATTTTATGTTAACTGAAACCATTTAGTGAAGCCATTACACAAATATATCTCATCCTAATACATGTATAACCACTGCACTCTGTCATCACTGCAGCTACTCACCCAACTCACCCTTCCTTATTCCTACAGCACCACCTGTGCAGTGCAATCACTATAAACCAAGAGAGGGGGGAGCACTTCCAGCATGCCTAGTGAAGCTTGCACTCATAAAAATAGATGAGCAAGGTGGAAACCCATAGTTATACATGAATGGGAGCTCCCCAACGTGCCTGCAAATAAAATATCTTTGTATAAATAGCCATGGGAGATGACTAGGCTAATAAAAAAATCAGGAAAGAAAAAGGGGACAAATTATTTTTCCCAGGTGTTCAGTCTGCTCAAGCTTGGAACAACTTCTGTAAACAAAGAGGAGGTGACGGGCACATTTCCTGCGTCCCTGAGTGTCCCAGTTACTCCTGCACCAGTTGCATTTTCCAGTTGATATCCAAGTGTATGTATATAGTTTGTCTTTGTATAGGAGTGAGTGTGGTGGCTGTCAATCGTGCTCTTCCAGTATTGTAATTTAACAGATTATGGCTGTATGAAAATGATGTAAATAACTAGAAAAAATTAAACTGGATCTCTATGTCCTAGTTTTTGTACATACTGAAACTGCATGGTATTTAAATTATTGTTTGTCTCTGATGTATGCAGTTTCTTAAAAAAATTCATTTAAAAAAAGCTTTCCGGTGCCTGTGTATTTTATCATCCTCTGTCCCAGAGGCTGACAGTGTAACACACAGAGGCAGTCAAGGATACCAGCCAGACTCATGAGGAAAGAGAGACTTCCCAGAGCAGAGGGGTGGGACAGATCAGATGAGCCCAAGCGCTGTGGCTGGGCTGGTGCAGCTCAGCAAGGAAGGATGAGTGGTAACTCAGCTGCTGAAGGGCTAACCAGCACCACTCTAGTGAAAAGCAGATCCAACAGTCTGCACTAGACACACACAGGCATCCAAAAATCCCACAACCAAACCCCATCTGTCACCACAATGCTGCTGGTGCAGGCTGGGCTCTGCCAGGGCCAGCTGCCAGAGTCAATGTGCAGCCACCAAGCAGCACAAGCAAGTTCAGCAGAGGAGCCATTCTCTATTCCTGGACGTCCATATCACATATTCCTATTTTTTGTTACCTTTCTTCCCCGAGTAGCTTCAGTGGGTGACTAGTTGAAGTCTCTGTGTAGTGAAAAGAGGAGAAAAAGCTTTCACAAGAATAAGTACATATCTTCAAACAGGCTCAGTGGCCTCCTGCAAGGGTGACAGCTCTGCTGAGGCTGCTCAGTGTTTGGAACTGATGGTGCAAACATCCTGACTCTGAGGAGACCAGTGACACCCAGCATCACTCTAAGTGGCAGCTGGGAGCAGCTCCCCTCCTCTGACACACAGAGGCTTCCAATTACACAAAAATTAAAAATCCATCTACTTTAACTGACCAAATTCTGTTCTTTTCCCTTGCTAGAAGGTAGAGAAACACAACATGATCAAAACTTAGGTATTGAGCTTTTTTTGGTTTGCTTCCATCTGGGCAACTTTTCACCTATCCTATTTTGTGTGTCTTTCTATGTATTTCCATTCTGCCAACAAGTTTGTGGCTATCCTGTGACATGTGGATAAATAAACAAAATTGTAGGTTTTGTTCCCCCACATCAAGCTACGGCTTTCATAGCAGCAGTATATAGTGGCTTGGCTACATATGGTAATGTCTGTGCTTTAACAAGAAAAATATTGGTGAGAATACATTGTACAGGGAATGTGAGAACACAGTCCAATTTCTTGCACTGAGACCTCTACAAAAGGGATGTGTTATGTTTTAATGGAAGCATTTCATAAAACCAGTCTAAGTGAAGGGATGTGTGTATCTTCAGTGACATCCATGTAATTACTGGCAATCAGTAATTACTGGCAATCAAATTGCAATCCAATGCTATCTGTAGGCAGGAAACAGGAGCCTGGAAAAAAATCGATTCTCCATGTGACAGACACACCTGCACAAACACACTCTGCTGCTTGGCAGTGCCTGCTCAGAGCTCAGTGCCCTTAGCACAGGTGTAGGGCTGGATTGCTTTGCCATCACCTTCCTCATCTCCATTTCTCCCCTTGGCACCTTGGCTCAAGGTTCCCAGACAAGCAAGCCCAAAAATAGCAGCATGGCCGTGTCCTGGTCACACAGTCAAACTGGTCTGTGTGGGACAAAGCAGCTGCCCTGCTCCTGAGCAGTGGGAGCTTCTGGTGCAGCTGTCAGGGCAAGGTGCAGGTGGTGCAACAGCACCCTCAGGTGCCCACATGGGCCAGCAGTGCCTTCAAACGGTACAAAGCTGCTTACAGAATTCCACCCTGAGCGGCAGAAAGAACAAAAGCTTGGCTTGTAGGTCAATTTGTGTCATGGGAGCTGTGGTGTTCAGAAGGACATCTTCAGCTGAGGCTGTCCCATGTGGAGATGACAGCTGTTCTCCTGTCCACAGAACTCTGCTCTGTATCACTGTTACTTTATGGGCCATTGAATTACTATATTTTGGCTACTTTTGTCTCCATGCTCTCCTGCTTTTCTTTCCATGCAGTCAGGCCCCTTAAAAAATCCAAACCACTCATCGCTTTTCAAGCACCATCCTCTGACATCTGCCAGTACTTTACTTATCTGGAGTTTCCATCACATTTGGACATCAGCTGGATGATGTGTGCAGCACAGGACAGCACAGACGTGGCACCGCTCTAAACCTCTCTGGAGAGAAAATATGGCTTGAGGGGAGAACTGGATCAAATTAAGCTTATTTTTCTTATTTGCAAAGTCCATGAAGATATTTGGCAGGGTGAAACTTGAGGGGGAGAGCTTTCACTGTCCAAAGTGAATGCTTCAGTGCTGTCTCTGGGGGATAAAAAGCATAAAGGAAAACCAAAAACAACCCAACACTTGTTGGGTTCTAAATGAACAAGCAAGTATGCAGCAGGCAGTTACATACTCGGCCACTCAAGGAGAAATTATGTAAATAAAGAAAAAATACCTAATTTCCAAGCTTCTCAGGAAAAATTAACATCAGGTAACTCATGTTCCTGCTGGATGACATAGAGGTTAACAGAAAACAAGTAGCAAAGATAACCCCTTCCTTACTTTACTTAGCCAAAGATTTCAGTGGGAGGTTCAACTATGTACAACATCAAAACATTCTGTGTTAGGAACTGCTATAGTAGATAAATGACCAAACTTGGACTTCCCATTAGAAGTGCCAAGTTGGACACCACAACTATTGCACTGGTTTAGTTCAAGAGGTCCAAGAATGCTTGCCACCTACCCCAAGCTGGTGACAATGTCTGGAGAGACAGATCCAGGCTTCCCTAACAGTGGACTCTGCTCCAGGCTGGGACTTTAGAGGTACCTTGCCTCAACTTTCCCCTGACTTGCATGCTGGGGACAGTGGAAGCTCCCATTTTGCTGCTCTGCTCCCTTGGGAAGCAGGGCTCTGAGCTAATGCCTTATGTTCCTCTGGGTGTATGAGCAACTGAGCAATTATCAAAAATTAACTGAGCCTAAGTGAGCCAGATTCCTACTTCCAGCTTATTGGGAATTCAGGGCATATTCTGCATAAACTGGTTCCTCTGTAAATCTACAGCTTAAGTTTGTGAATGGATCCATTATGAGACACACAAATGCCTCTCACCAGCAGTGAGGGAAGCATGGCATTAAACCACCATGCACTCTCTTGAGAGCTCCCCTTCTTCAGCATAGCCCGCAATAAGTAATAACCCTGCATTAAAGAAGCACTCCTGATCCTTCTTGGTACACAGAACTGAAAGGGCTACACAGAAACTTCAGCTGGACATTACAGTAGAGCAGCATTTGGGGATCCATCCCACATGAAATGGGATGTTAAGTAAAATTGCTGTTGTTTATGTGGAAACAAAGTTTTTTACTGTGAGGATTACCAAGTACAGGTTGCCCAAAGAGATGTTAGACTCCCTCTCCTGCAGACAGTCAGAAGCCACATGGACATGCTTGGTCCTGGGCTCTAGGTGGCCCTGCTTGAGCAGGGGGGTCTGACCACATGGATTCCAGAGGTCCCTGCCAACTTCAGCCTTTCTATGGTTCTGTAAAAGTTGATCTCTCTCTCCTGTGCAGCTCCAGGCCTGCCCACTAACAGGGAAAGGCTTCTTTAAATTAAAAAAAATACTTCTGGAGCCTTCAGTCAAACAGTAATTGGAGGAACACTCACTGGCAAGCCTGGAAGCAGTAACACTGACTGGCATTTCTAATCCTGATTCAGTGCACCTCTCTTCACAGAATATGAGTTATTGATTCCCTTTCAGGACTGAAACAGCTTCGGTGTCATCGCTACTTGTTTTTAAATGACAAGTAATCTGCTGTGTGAAGACCCTGGAAATGCACCCACACCTTTGGGGTTGTGTGAATTGCCTGTGCAGCTGGGGGGAATCCTTCACACGGGCAGTGTCTCAGACTGCACCCATGGGCTTTATTTGAAACACTTGTGCACTGCACATTACAGCATGCAGGGCTGTTGTTAACAGGACTTGTGTCCTTCTTGTGCACCTTACCCAGCTCCCATGCCTGCACCAGGAAAACAAGCACCCATCAAAAATGGACTCCATGGATTACCACAGTGCAGGCACAAGAGTAGATTCCAAAGCAGACACAAACATGCTTTTCCTGAACTGGCTGAACTTGGGCATTCCAGTAAGACCAACAGCGAGGTCTCAGCATCCAGCAGAGATCATCTCCCCAGGGCTTTAGGGGTAACCCCAGCCAAGTCCAGGCTGCCCCAATTAATGTGCTGCAAGGTAAACCTGACCCAGTTTAAAACAAACGTTTCTAAAGCATTTCAATTTCTGAGTGCAAGCTAAACACACTCTCTCAAGTGCAATGAGCATCCTTGGCACTCAGCAACTGAGCGCCAATTTGAGTCAAATAACAGCTAAGCAACACATTCTTATGTACAATTCCCCAGTCAATGCAAAAGGTAGAAGCAGAATTTTACAGTTTTACAAGAAAAAAGATCAGTTCCCCACTAAATCCCTATCCATGGCTAATCACTCTACTTTTACTTATATTATGAATTACATTTCTGCATTGAAATAATTTTGAAATCTAAACCAAAGAATCAAATTACAGCAGCTTTGAGCCAAGCACTCAGCAGAGACATTGGTTATTACTGGACTGTAATTCTGAACTATATTGGCTCATCCCACTGATTTTCTCCATACCTGCACAGATCCACTTTGCTAGAATGTCTTCCATGAAGAACAAAGGAGATATAGCCATAGAGAGGTGTCTGACAGATAAAATGAAAGTGTTTTAAAACACTTTCAGAAAAGGATGTCAGCCCTTGTCATTTTGATGTCCTCTACCTCAGATTTGGGAAGCTTAATTTATCTGAAAACTTACAGTGTTAAAGGAGTACAATTACATTTCTAGCAAAAGCATGCTTGTTCACCAGCCAGCAGGCTGACATTTGGTAAATTCACCACATGAATGCTTCCAAGTAGTAACTAGCTACACAAAGTATAAATGGCATACTGAAACAATTTTAAATTACAAGTAAATCTATTTACCTTGCTTCAAGAGTTAGGTTTACTTCTGCAAGAGTGCACACTGTGCAATCAAAATGCTGCAGCTGGATGAACAAGTAACACTTCAGACATCATCACCCCACCACTAAGTATTTTCATTCCATCTGTATTTATTGAAAAATATTTACATATCAGAAACCATGCTTTAATAGCATCTTTACACAAAAGGGTTAATGAAGAACATCACACTAGGATGGGGGAAGGGTGGTAAAAAGTCTTTTCAAAAGACACTCAATCTTTTTTCTCCAAGCTGTCACGAGCCAAGAGAGTTCTCAGACCGAGTGTGCCGGAGTCCCGCAGTGCGTGCGCCACAGATCCACAGCCTTGCTGACGATGGCGTCGGTGTTGTCCTGAGGAATCTGGAAAGGATCAGGGCAAGATGCCTGGTCAGAGCACTCCATTCTGACTTGTTTAAAATAAAGATTTTGAATTTCCAGTTCAGATTTTATCTCTTTATGAAAAAGAAAACAAAACTAGAATCCCAGCTCCCTGTCCTCTCATCCCACCATCCCTCAGTCCTGCACACACCATATTACATCCAGGTTTTGGACAAAAAGCTTTTATTTCCAAAATGCTGATAAGCAGCCAGGTATCTCACACTTCACACATCCCTGACACCAGGCATGACTCACACTGCCTATCCATGACCTCAAACTGTATCCTACATAACTCACCTGGGTTACAGTGGGACCCTACAGCCCCGCTGACATGGCTCGTTACTGTTTAGGGTCAGGTTCTCAATCCCATCCTCACATCAACTGAAAACACACCCTGAGTCTACAGATTTGCACTCAGGCAAGACACAAAAAAAAAAAAAGGTACCAGAAACCAACCCTTCTAAGAAGAAGCCTCCAGAAAAATTAACCTAACCTGACCAGCACTCACTTTCACAGAAAAACCCTTTAGTATCACAAGGAATGTTCTGTACAAACACAGACAATATATTCCCCAAACCTAAAAATCACTTCATTCTATGGAAGCCTTAACTCCTGATAGAAAAAGTTATTATTCTCATTGCTGAGCATTCTCCCTTAACCTTGGTACTGCTACACTGTTCTCAGTAATGTAATAATATCTTTTGGTACATCTGCAGCAGGCGATTCAGGCTGAAACAGTTATAAGCTATAAAAGGTAATGCACAGCATAATTAGAGTACTTACATTTTCCAAAAACTGTGTGATCTTTTCTGCAGAATTCAGTGCTATTATCTTCATTTTAAAGGTTAATAATATCTCCACAGCAACAAACACAAGAATCTTGCAGGATCCACTTATAACTTTGTCCCAAACTCTACAAGAAAGTGAAAAGGAATCATTAAACGTTATTGCAGTGTTTATCTGCTTATTTCTCTGACAGAACAGCCTTTGCACAACCATCTCTATCCAGATTATTTTTCTGAAGAACAGCAATGTATTGAATTATTCAGGTCAGGATAAATAGAAGACATTTTATCAACTCCTCAATCTGTGCAGAGCAGAGGGGTGGCAAGCAGTAGTTGGCATGTACTGATATGGTGTGTTGCTGCTTAGAAATTGAAATGTTTACAAGCTCAAGTACAAAAAGCAAATCTTGCTAATAGTCTGTACTGTAACAACTACTCTACTGAACTACACAGCTACCAGAGTGTGTGGTAAAGATGAGAATTTTTTCTAGTGAAAAAAAAAAAAGAAATTAACTTCATTAGCATGCCTAATAAAGATACTCTTCAATCAGCTAAGTTGCTAAAAAACTCAAAGGGATGTAATACTGAACTACTACATTTCAAGCAGGTAAATATTCCAGGTTACTGCTGTATGAGATGCAAATATGACCTATCAGCAGGATATAGTCCATGATGTTTAAATTAGGCACAAGGAACAACTATTAAGTCTTCCAATCCATCCTACTGTGCACAAACACTCTCAGAAATACCTAAGCATTCCTACTTCTCATGTGAAACCCTACCTGAACCTCACAGTTTTAAGAAAACCTGAAAGGCAGGTGTCCAAATGCCTCAGGAACAGAACTTGGATGAATATTAAAATGGATCATCACTACCAAAACAGCCTGCAACAATTTGAAATCATCCTTCATCCAGCAGCTCTCTCTCAGGCCCAGATCAAGAGACTCACGATAAAAAACTACACAAAACAGTGTGAAACCATCTGTCAGATGGCAGCTTTTATGGGCTCACATTATTTTTAGTTCTTGAATTTAAAGAGCTGTGTCAGAAAGAGTTTCTGAGGATTACAGTTCTTGCTCCTTCTGGGCACTTGTTCAAAGTATTTCTCCTTCCAAATAAAAACATGGGGGAACAAAGATCACACACTATCCTCCATAATTTCTGAATATAGTAACACCAACTGAAAAATCATCTTCTGCAGCCCATCTACAAATTTGGATCTATGGGTGTGCTCCTTCCAGTGACAAATCAATTTCTGCATGACCTCTCTCAGAAGAATTTGCCTTTCAGCCCAGCGTGCCAGGAGAGCACAACGCAGGCATGACACAAACTTTTGACAGCTGAACTGAAATGTAGAATCAGACTTTGACACAAGGAATTAAGAGGTGAGAGCCCAGCCAAGAGAGAGCATCATTAAGATGATGAAATGACTCCTATGAGGAAAGGTGAGAGAGCTTGAACTGCTCAGCCTGGAGAAGAGAGGATCTGAGGACTCTCACCAATGTAAACAAGTACTGGAAGGGAGAGCACAAAAAGGGTGGAGCCAGGCACTTCCCAGTCATTCCCAGTGAAGGCATCTGAGGCAACAGCCACAAACTCAGACACAGGACTAGATTCTAACTTATAACAAAGAAAAGAGAAAAACAAATGTGTAAGATCCTCAGGACTATTCTGAAAGTAGAAGGAAACAAAAAACCCACATGAACAGATAGGGAAAAGAAAAAGGCACAGCCAATTTCTTTCCTCTTTGCAATTTAACTTTAATTCCCTGTCTTGCTATAATTAAACAATTAGTATAATCCCCATAGGGACAGGAACACACAATCCAAGATCAAAATCTTACTGCTTCATTTGTGGTTCAAGCATCCCAGAACAAATGATCACTGCAAATATTACTTTGCTGTTGAAGTCAGGTCTAGGAAGCTTTAATGCAAGGATATGAGAAAACTGAGACAACAGTTCTGCTCCACAATGTACAGGTCACCCCTATTTACTTCTACAGCATCTTCCTTCACAAAAAGATCTGTTTAGAATACAACAAAACTTCCCTGTGTGTTTCATGTTCATCAAAACTGTAATTACAAGTGACAATTACAGAGAGTAGCAGATCACAAAAACAGGAAATTATTTTTAAAGTTCACATTAAAGCTCATGTTAATTTGAAAACCAACTTACTAATCCTCTTATAAAACACCCAGTCTTCTTTCATTATTTTGCAACCAATTCTTCTGACTTCAGTCTCCTTAATTACATTAGGTTGCATGCTATGCTCACAACACTCTATTGTTTTCCTGCATTATTTAGTCTGATTCCAGAACAAATGTTTTAACAATGGCAAAACAGATGCAGTATCTAAATCACCAGTGTCTTAACAAATTTTGGAAGATGGTGTACAGAAAACTGAGTGAGATGTCAGCACTAACTAGCTGTGTCTGCTGCAATATTTTTCCCTTAACATTTCCAGCTACTGTTACTCTCAGTACAACTCCACCAGTGACGGTAATCAGGAATGATTGTGCAACTCTGTGATCAACAGTCAGCACCTTGTCTGTACCAGCAGAGCCAGGAACAACAGCATAAACTGTCAAAAGTGGAAAAAACCCACAGCAGTTTCAAGGAAACATATTTTCTGTGGATCCTATTCTAATACAGCAGTCTTTATACATTGTGTATCTATTGATGGTAACAGGTGTCCTGCTTTCACTGTTTCAATAGCAATCATTTGAGGTCAAGTTTACTGCTAGAGACTTGAACTTTTTACCTGTTCTTTGATACTCCTGGAGAGTGGGAAAGTATAAGAGAAACATCATGAAACTGTGCCTACAGCCCTACTCAGGAAGGCAGAAAAAGAAATACATATTCTGAATGAAATCCACTATGTTTTGTGTGACTATCATCCTCTGTGAAATACAACTGTTCTATCAGCCACAGGAACAAAGGAACACTCTTGAACAGAGAAGCAGTACTGCCAACCACAAGGAAAAATAAAATTAAATAGGAAGCTATAAAGGCAAAGAGCATGCCAAGGATTATGCAAATGAAACCATTTACTTTTCACTGAGCTTCTTCTATAGACAAGTAGGACTCACTCTGTGTGCACCTGTGTGTGAAGGGATGCCATTCTCCAGGTACTCTCTGCGGTTCCTGCACCACTACAGTGCAATAATACACAAGAAGCATCACAGCACTGCTGCTTTCTCTTTTTCTGCTATATTAACCTCACAGATTTTCCCTATGCTGAAGGGTAAACTCAACCTCATTTCCTGGTTCTGGTCCTCCAGCCACCCAGGTAAGAGATATCTAAAAAGAACAAATGCTTTCTCCTCTGCCTGCACTTCTGGGTGTCCTTCCAGAGCTAACTGGGCATGGAGGGACACAATGAGGCTCACACAATTCTCACCCTGATCATGATCTTGTGCCCATCCATTTGCAGACCTGGGAAGCAGCTCAGTGAGACAAACTGAATTAAGTTTCTCTGTAGTAGCAGCCCACATGCACATTCTTATGCCCTCCTGCTCCACAGTAAAATTAAGGCATTTTCTGTATTTCTGTTGTTTCTATTAACAAATTACTTATATTTTTACAACCAAATGTAATTTATGCAGGGCGTGGAGAGCGCAGATGTAAAACTACAGAATTATATTAATATATGAGGTAGTGCCAGTTTGAAAGTCGTAAGATTTCAGGAGAATGACCAAATACTTTGCCACTAGCAAATCACCAGAGACTAATAACCTAACACCACCCAGCCAATGCCAAGCCTTCAGTGCAGAGTACAAACAACATTAGGCAGGAGCCTGATACGTGAGTGGCATCATTAGGTCATAAAAAAACTCCTGACTCATTCACAATTACAACTGCAAAGCTGCACTGCTTCTGCTGGGTCATCTGGGCTGACAGTGCCAGATTAAACTGGCAGCCAAAGTGTCATTTTGTCTGTAGAGCTGAAGTCACAAAGAGGATCCCAAGGTTTAAGAGCAGGGATCTCCAGCTGAGGGCCCTCACAGCACTGCTGGAAAATTTTCCACACATGGTCTTACCAAACAGATGAGCAGATATGCTGCTGCACAAATCAAACAAATAGGGCAATGATGAGTATGAAAACAAAGGTGTGATCCAGTTCTCTCCATGTCTCAGAGAGAAGCACCCCTTTCTGTGCCTCGCAAACCTCTGCTAATGTCTGGCTCATGTTCCAGGAAGCATCCTGTCTATATTCCAGGTGGGATACAGAGTCTTTGAAATGGCCAGTCTGCTCCGCCCTTTTACCAGTGTGATGCCTTTAAGTCTGTCAAGAAGATCATCACATAATATGCCAAGTGCATCAGACACTGCATAAGCTGCAAAGCTCAAAGTTTCCACATGAAACCTGCCTCTATGTATTTTCCAAGCCCACTGAAATTAAACTGATGCATAAATTTTACCTATGGTGTAACTTGAAGTGTGCTATAAAACACTACACTGAGTGCCAATGCCTGTCATTGTCAGTGGTATTGTGCAACTTCATCTCATCATTACCAGGAAAAATTTCTGTGCAGCATGTACAAGTCTTGTAAACCTTAGAGAAAAACAAACAAACAAAACCATGAAATTTAGATTTATCTGCTTGGCAGATAAGACTACAGATCATAGAAAGCAAGCAGCCTCTCTAAGAAATGCAGTGCTAAATCATAAGTGAAAATAAATCATGACAGACTGTGTTCAGATAATCTCTCACTTGACAGCAAAGTAAGTAAAATTCACAGGAGAACTTGAGACCTTCAAACTTCAGCAGTTTCAACACTGACATTTGGATGCATTTCAGATAAGCACTGGGGCTTCTAGATCCTAATCCAAACCAAATCACCAAGCATTAATTAAGTTCATCTGTCACATACTACCCATGATACATGTTATTTCCTCAGTGAATAAGGCCATTATGATTACAACTGAATAATTCACAAACCTAAACTGCCAAGAAAAAGTGCACTCCCATCATGTTCCCACAAGAACTGTTGGGAAAAGGGATTGTTCTGCCATCAGAAGTACCAACACTGAAATTTGTTATTCCTCCAGAGTGATCCAAAAAGCCAGTATTTGGACCTTTTCCAGGGGAAGAAAAAGTACTAAAAAATTCCAGGTAATCAAAAAAATTCTATTTCAGTAAGGTGAAACAGTGTATTGGAATGTTAAAGATGAATACTGATTAGACAAAATATTTCATATAAGTAAAACTGATTCAAAACAGTAGACACTTGAAACCAAATATTCTGGCAAGATTGAATATGAAATCAAAATTCTTCATCTATATTTTTCCTTTTACACCATCAGGATGACACAGCTCCATTAATTTTTCAATTTTCAGCAGAAATTTTAAAAATCAAAAATTTAAAATTTAAAAAATAAGAAATTTTTTTTAAAATTTAAAATTCATCTTCCAAGAGCAAATCTGCTCTGATACAAATTCCTCCCTCAGCTCTTGTCCACAGCCATAAGATCCAGTAGCAAAACTGAATCACATGAGCTCTAAACTGTAACAAACATCCTATACTATACATGCTTATATAATTTCTGCAGTAACAGAAGTAGTAAAAGTGTTCAACCACCACATCACACACAATCACTAAGCAGACAAGACTGTTTTGGAGCCTTATAGGTGTTTGATAAGACGAATTTGCCATGTAACAATTACTGTGTTGCACCTAAAGGTCTCAATTCTTCACAAATATTTTTTTCTCTCAAACAATCATCGGCAACAATGAAACCCACAGAACCTCAAAGATCATGGTCCAACAAGAGCAGAGAGCATGTTTTCTAATCTTACAGCTTGTTCCCTAAAATCTTCTTATTCTTATAAGGATAACTAAAACATTTTTTAAAACATTTTTTAAAACAGCCATTTTCCACTTTCCTCCATGGAACATGAAGTCCCAGATAAACAAACACTGTATCCACTATTCAGGTTATGACCAACTTTACCACCATAAAAGCTTTTAACACAAAGCAATTTACAAAGCACTGTTTAGATGCTAGGTTCCTATTCTAGCCACTGAACAGGATTCCTGTGATTCCCTCGAAGTAAAACTTCCACTGAACATTGTTACTTCTCAAAGTTTTCAGACAACTGAAAATGACACCATTATTTTCTTTGTGCCACATCCTGTTCAGCTATCAGCAACTCTTATAAATGCAGAAAAATGTTTCTCTGCATTGAGCTTGAATTCCCTACTTTCCAAGAGTTCTCAGACAGCAGAATTAGAGAAATCATACAAGCTTCATTTCAAAAGCCCTTCAGTGAAGTGTCATGCACAAGAATTTTTCCCTTTTAAAAGCTCAACAATCTATTTCTAACTGTATAATCCACTATTTCATTAAGTTTGTAATAACTAATATGCCCTAGTACTTTTTAGAATAAACATTCTGACATGGTTTATTCCCAGCCAGCAACTGAGCAGCAGACTCATTTACTACCTCCACCAGCAGGATGGGGGAAAAATTGGAAGGGTAGAAGTAGGAAACAAATTTGTGGGTGGAGAAATAAAGTTTCATAATTAAAAAGAAATAATAATTTCCACAAAATTATAAGTAAGATAAGAAAAACATAACAAAGAGAGGAAAATAAAACGTGAGATAAGTGATACAACTGAGAACAGTTGCCCACCACCCCAGCTGATGGCCAGCAAGGCCCCAAGCAAGTGCTCCCAGCTGCCAACCTCCTCCTCAGCTTAATTGCTGAGCATGACTCCACATGGAATATCCCTTGGGTCAGCTGGAGTCAGCTGTCCTGGCTGTGTCCCCTCCCAGCCATGTTCTTGTGCACCCCCAGCCTCCTTGCTGGTGAGGAGCAGAATGATACTGTGTAAGCACTGCTCTGCAGGAACTGTGTTCCAAAAACATCCCTGTGCTCCAAAACACAGCCCTATACCAGCTACTCTGAAGAAATCTAACTCTATCCCAGCCAAAACCTGTACACATTCCCAAAATCTTTTTCATCTAACACTAATATAATATTACAATCACTCCCCAAGCACAGCTTTTTGTCAAAAAGCCCAAAAGCTGACTGCCATTCAGCTATGCAACAGTGACAGAGGGTTTGAAGTTCTACATGCTAGGAGGCACTAAGTGTCCAACAGAATCAGCTGGTATACTTAGATCCAGTCTTTTTATCTTCAGTGGGTGAAACAATCACACAGAGATTGATTATCTTACATCAGTAACACGGGGAATTAAATCCAATTTTATAATTTCCGAGTTAGCAATAAAGTTTACACCATAACCTTACAGATAAAGTATGGAAAGCTCTTTACCTGCTAGTGATGACAGCTGACATTGCTATGCAGTTACAAACAGGAAAAAAAAAAAGAAAAATAACTTGCCTCTGTAAACTGGACTCAGGTAAACATCCTGCAAAACACTTTTTAAACCAAAGATCGTAGGGGAGTTTGCTCATAGCAGCACATGCCTTCAGATGCATCAGTAGTCTGTTATCTTCAATGTTCAAATACTGCTCCAGAATTTTTGGCTGAGAAATAATTAGAAAAATGTAGGTAACTCACATCAGAATACCTTCATAGTTAATGCACACTGTAAGACAAGTACTGTCTTAAAAGTTCAACTGGTGCAAAATAACATATTAAAATAATGCACCTTCATTGTTTTTCTTATTCCAAAATACAAGTGTTACTGACTTTTGCAATTAATTAATTATGTACTTAACCAAAGAAGCAACCTCAGCTACCTTAAATTGCTGACCACCAGCAGAACTTCCAAGATATGTAGTATTCCCTAGTGCAAGGAGGTGCTTCAGAGCTGAAGGCAATGCAGAGATTAAATGTGCACTAATTACTGCTACCTTCACAAGTAAAATTGAGTTTCATTCACCTAAACCGAATCGCCTTAGCACACATCAAAAACAAATCTACACACAATGCAGCAAAACCCAAAAAATCAATTCTGAGAGCAAATCCCTGTGCAACCCATTAAAAGCTGGACATTGATTTACTGTTTAAAAACCCTAAGTATTTCAGGCACATGGATAATTTTCTCATCTTGTTTAAATTTTAATGTAACATAATACACATTTTCATAAATTCTTGACTACCTTTATGCTTTGTCATAGTTAGGGAAACTGCTACGGACTTCAGCTGTCAAAGGCAGAAAACAATTCCTTTGCCCATATTCTCACCTACTGAGTCATGGTATATTGATTGTATTAAAAAAAAAAAAAATTAGGGAGGGAGGAACTTGGCACTGTTTACATCATACAAACATACACTTGAAAAATATTCCTTTCTCCTTTGAACTGGTATAATTGAGTGTACCACCCAGAGAAACAGAAGGTAGGTTTAAAAATTATTTCTTAGTTCCAAAAGAACTAACAAGGGCAGGCATAATTTTCCACAGCAGATTTCTATTCAGCAATTGCTGCTGTGCACGTACTTGATACTTTTACCTCAGAGAATATTGTTAACGAAAAGCTCCTTATCTGTTAAGGCTATTTGATGAATTACAAGAGCTTTCATAATTTTGATAAGTACACATTACAATCTAATTTTACAAATCAGTAAGATGGAAATTCAAAATTAATATTATATGATAGCATTGAAATGATCAGTACTAAAAGAAAACTACTCCACTTTTTATTATGATTTGATTTGCAACATACTGTTTTTCTGAAGACGGAAGTACTATGCTCTATTTATAAAGCAAAACTGTGCTTTGTCTATCATCCAATGAGCAGCATATGAATGCCAGAGATGCAGCCTAAAAAGTAGCAGACATACATCAAGATGTTCTTCACTTTTGACATTTTTGATTGTTTAAAGAAAATTCTTAAGTGACCAATTTGTGAGACATATAATTCAACTAGATACAATGTAACCTTTAGGCAAAAAAAAAGGTAATTGGAAACAAAAAACAATTTCTAATGTTACATTAGACAGGGCAGCACAATCACAATGCAAAAAGCATTCCTCCCCTATTCTCAAAACAGGTGGTGGAACAGAATCCAAGGGTGTCGCTTATGCTGCTCCAGTTGTCTCCCTGTACTGATGCTTTCCATGACTGCTTCTCCTTGCAAAAAGAAAAAAATATTTTTTTTTCCTTACCAGTTGTTGTAATGAATCTTTGTGCTTGCTGTTCAGCTGATTCACAAAGCAACTGACAAGCCAATAGCATTCTATAGGATCCTCTACCATTTCCTCCATTGCTTTAGCAATAGCTAGAAACACTTCATCTTCAGGTTCCTGAAAAACAAAGTAAAAAAAAGTGAACCACACAGAAGTATTATTCTTATATTCTTTTTCTCTGCTATTTGGGGAAAAAAAACATGAATTAATGTACACAATGGGCTGTTCTGACGTTCCTAAACAAGACATTGGGCAGCAGCTGCAGATGATGACAGATATCTATTAAAACAGAGCAATTAAGATTTGTATTGCTTTTAAAACCAAAACATGCTTCAGCGTATAGAGAGTCTTAAATGCTACTGGGGTATGCCTCTGCCATGCAGACTGCTGCAATACACATATATCCCTACTTGAACACTCTGCACTCAGATACACAAAACACTCAGCAGTCTTCCGTTTGTTACTCAAACATTTCAAAATATTTAGATCAATCTGACATCTCTTTATCATCTCCCTCTGCCTCTACAATAAAACACCTGCATTACTACCAAGAGTAACCTCTCATATGTTTAAGGGAACAGTGACTGCACTGAAAAGAGAACAAATGCTTTCTTCAGCAGCAAAACAAACCTGAGTTACAGGACTAATGACTGGGGCTCTGCTAAATACCATCGCTATGAAACCTCACTGCAGTCCTGAGAGCAGCTCTGGGATGCACCGTCAAAACACTTGCCCAGAGGGCAATACTGCTCTAGAAGGGAGGAATTTTCAGCCCATTGCATCACATGCCAAGATCAAGGAAATTTGGAGGGTAGGATAGCCACATTCCTAGGAAATGGTAAGGGTATGAAAACATTTCCTCCTCTGACAAGAGAATGCTGCAGGTAATCCTCCAGTTCTAAATTTTACCAAATTTTCAATACTAACTTCAATCTTTTTTTATTTTGAATTTTTCTTCACGTACTTATGTCAAAATTTGTGATTATAGGTGAAAAATTACAAATTAAGCTGCGCTAGATAAATTAACTACAGGACAAAATCCACCTAGAAAGCTCCATGGCTTCTTTCATCATCTCCTATTTCATGGAGAAAAGAAAGAAAGACATTTTTTTTATCATCACACTGCTAATCTACCAGCACAGCACAGCCTCATTTAACCATATGGGTGTACACTGTGTACAGCAGAGTATGTGCATTACCTGACAGAAGCCCAAGTAAATACAGACTAAGAAAAAAAAAGAGGACAGTCCACTAAAGTCTATTTAAATATTTAAATAAATTTATTTATTTAAATTTAAATTTAAATATCTGATGCAAGTTGCATTAAATCACTGCTTGTACAGGCTCTGAATTACTCTTGTTCCAGGACACATAAGAACCTATGAGCTCCAATGAGATGTCATTTTAATTTTAGTGCTATAAAGAAACTGAAGTGCCCTGGAGTATAAAAGGCTTGAAACCTAGCAGGCAAAATGCACAAAAGAGATTTTAAGGCATAAAATCTTACATAAGTACTTAGAGAAAGGAAAAGAGAACAGCACTTTGACAAAGTGCTTTATTTTATACTAGTACTTCTCCGTTTTCCATTCACCCTACTCGGTCTATCTACAAACATTTGTGGGGTGACTTGCAGTTCAGTTTCTCACTGGTTTATAGTTTGAAGTTCAATATAGTACTGTATTTAAAAGACTGTTAAAATCACCACTGACCAATGGAAAAGCTACATTTCGAGGCAATTTTCCTGATTCCAGTTGATATATGCGGAGAAAAACATCAACCTGTGGGGTAGAATCATTAATAAACCGGATCACACGAAGAGCATGGTGAATATCCCAGTACTGCTCCTTCCGGTACTTCATCACCAAAGCATGAGATTCGTGGTGAGGAGGAATAATTCCTAAAAAAATAATAAAAAAATTAAATTAAAAAATTAAAAGAAAATATAAACAATTGTAAGGAGCAGTCCTACCTGTTACTTTTTATTCCTATCTACTTTTCCGTACAGTACGAGCTGGGTATTTGTGGCCAGCTTCCATTTATTTTGAAAACAAAGTCAGTGTAGAATGATTTTTATACACATTAGCTGTTCATTTTCTCAAATTCTAGACTTTGTCTGAGATGACAGAGAATATGTACATGCAATTAACTAAGGCAAAGATACTGTTCACTGCAGTATTAATTACTTTACTGCCAGAAAACTCTTTACTCACTGTATCAGGAATTAATTCCCCCTAAAATGACATTCAAAAACCAAAATTAATCAGTTAAATCAATTAAAGATTAAAACTTAAGAATGCCACATAGTCACTTGTAAAGTAACATTTGTTATTTTCTTAGCACAACACAAATATCTTTTCTAGTTTCCTGAGAGAAAAAAAGTTAAAAAGTATCTAACTAGAAAGGCAAAGAAAATTATACAGCGTGTCCAGAAGAGATACTTACCATTTCACTCAATCCCTAACTTGAGACTCAATTTGGCCATGCACTGATGTTCACAACAAAACTGTCACAGGCTTCAACAGAAAAAAAAAAAACTTACATACACCTAGGCAAAAAATAAAAAGCCATTTCCCTATCACAAGAGGAGCAGAATATTTCCCAGTGTAGAAACCCATGAGAACAAAGTCTTCTTCAAAAGTCAGTTCTGAAACAAGCTACCTGCTCCTTTTACCTCTCATTTAAAGAAAAAAAGTATTCCTGCCAAGTGTTACACCATGAAATGGCTGAGTTGAGGAACAAGCACATCAGACAGAAAATTATCTTTTCTTTTCCAGCTGCAAACCTGTCTGCACTTCAAAAGCTGGAAGAAAGCAAGACATTTTTCATGATATGCCAAAAGAGATTCAACATCATAACTGTATGTACATACTTCCAACTGTTCTCCTCAAACACAGAGGACAACCTTAGGCAGGCAAAATGTAGCTGAAACAAGAGGGGTGCCTGGAAACCACCATGAATCATCCTTGAACAGGAAGGTAACAAAGACATTGCTGACACACGTCGCCTGGGACATCAGCAAGCTTTGGTACATGTCTGAGAGAGTTTTGTTGACAGGACAGACTTCCTTTTCTTAAATTATTAGCATTATTTAGAGATCACATAACACCTCCCACCAGAAATGGGCTGAGCTGTGGTTCCAGCCATTTAGAGAGTTATTTTGCACTGTCCTTCTCAACACCAGCTTTTCTGATAGCTGTTAACACTGAAATGCAGCCTAAGGAAAGTCCCTAAACCTCTGTTCACCCAAGGCACGTCATAGAATGACAGTACCAATACTTGAAATCATAGAATATCGTGAGTTTGAAGGGACTCACAAGGACCACTGAATCCCCCTCCTGGTCCTGTACAAGACCACTCCAAGAAATCACACCATGTGCCTGAGAGCAGAGTTCACTTCTTGAACTCTGTCAGGCTTGGTGCTGGGACCACTTCCACGGGGAGCTGATTCCACTGCCCAGCCACCCTGTGGGTGAAGAGCCTTATTCTGATATCCAAACTAAACCTCCCCTGTAACAACTTCATGCTGTGAAATGAATCACTCTGGGTTTAAAAGACAAAATACTTTTAAGAACCAGTATCATTTTCCATGCAGTTGACTCAGAAGGTGTTTTGTGTTATCATATGATTCACGAATCCTTTATCTAAAACAGCCCAAGACCTGGCTCTGCAGTGAGGTCTGCAATTTTGCAGAGATGTATTTTGCTATTGTAATGTTGGCTGAAGGATTCTGTACTGAGTTGCTTGTCCAAAACTCCTATGCTGTACTTCCCACTATCAATATTTTAAAGGATGCTGACTACTTCACTAGTGCCCAGGGTACAATAACCTTTTTAATGGCAGAGCCTTTTATCAAGTAGGACTACTCTGTAAATTCAATGCCAAGAACTTCAAGTTTTGTAATTAGATCTTGCCCCTTTTGTGCACTATTTACTGCCTTTGCCAAAAAAAGGCTTACAAATCCACATCATCAGGAATATGAAGCCACAACTTTCAAAATGTAAATAATTGGAGGGGGAAAAATGAATTAAAAAATTAAGATTTTTTTTAAACCCTTCCTGTCTGCAAGTGGACATTATCTTGCATCTAGTCAACCAATGCACTTGACCAGTTAGTGCAAAGTCATTAATACTTTTTAATTAGTCATCTGACTAGTGCACTTCTAGGAAAATATAATCTATTTATGCTTTTTGAAGTTTCTGGGGATACCATTAACTTGTCTTCAGCAAGAAGCAAAACCATAAGAAACCAATATTCCACAGAATATGAAGCTTCTCTCTAGAATAAACATGCATTCCATGCTTCACCCATCTTAAACTTAATCACAACTTTACTTCAACTTAACTGTCTGTTATTTCAGGAGCACAACTGAGTATCTTATCATATATCAGTGACTTCTCAAAATCCACATTTCAAATCCATTTCATAAATGTGCTTGGATAGTGCTACAAAGTTAAATGCAGAAATATACTCTCCTAGACACATTTCAGCAAAGTTCTCAAAAACTTGTTTTATAATTGCCATTGTGCATCTGAGGTGGATACAAAAGCAGACTACATATGTATCAGTAAGCAAGGTAGAATTATCTATGTCATTACTTTAAACTTTAAAGACAAAAAGAAAAAAAACAAACAAAAAGAGAAAAAATTGCACCTTCCTAAATTCTACATTCCATGTTATACTTCATACCTAGAAGCACTTTCCACACCAGTATACGATACATGGATGGAAGAGGAAACCTTTGACTAAATGTGCAAAGCTTCTCAATATCTGTAATGAAATGAGAAGAAAAAAAAATCAGGACAAATTTAAATATGGTTATAAATAGGTTTGCATCTCTGACCCATCAAAGTATGACAAACTTTAGTTGTAGACTGAAATTCCCTATTTCATCACATATTATCAACAAATGTTTTCACTGCTTTCATATTGGCCTGACTTACAGTAAAACTACTCCATGTTTCATCAGGAGGAAACTGGACCATTTTTATAGGCATTTTGTAAAGCATGTCACTGTCAAAACAATTAAGTCCCTTTTTAAAGGGACAACATTTATCTTTCTGTTCTGTCAGAGATGTGGCACTCCTCAGGGACCAACAGCAGTAACATCTTCATTGCTTTGAAGTTAGATGGAATTAACAGCAAAAGAAGAAACATGCAAGCTGACAAATCTTCAATAGTTTTAAAAATCCGATTTCCAGATCTTTGAAAATCAAAGGTCTGCTACCACTAACTCAGGGATTATACTCCCTCCCCAGCCCCTAATCACCAAGAAATAGAGCAAACAGTGAAATCAACTTGCCCAAACGGTCATCCTTTAACAGAATTTCCAGTGACTTCTTCTCTTCAACTCCACGAAACCCCACTTTTTCATAATACACTGAGCGGAAGTTTCTCTGAGAGTCATCAGCCATGATGGATTCGTTCTGGAGAAAAAATTAATTCCTCTGAAGACTTACAAGAATACATTCCTATTGCTTTAAGGTCAAGTAATTTTGCACACTGATACAAGTTTACTGCCTATGTCTCTACAGTATTAATAAACCCTAGAGAATATTAAAATCTTCCAAGATTTTTTTTTTGTCACATACTAACAAAAACCATTATAAACACAATTTATTCTAAACAAGGTCTAAAGATACCAACTTTACAAACAAAATTCAGGGATTTAAAAAAATTATTCACGTAGTACATTATGCTCATTTTCAAAAATTTTTTTAAAAATTTCTGGAGAAACACTTAAGTATTTTTCCCTGTACTTCAAAACCAATATAAAAAATACAGTTTCAAGTCTAACAAAATTTTGATTACGAAAATCGTACTCAAGTAAAATTATAGTCCAGGTAAGTAAAAGTACTGGGTTTCTTACACACCAGCCAAGGTAATCAGAAGCAAGGACAAGCCAGTGTTGGCCTCAGAGGCACAGGGGTGACAAGGAAGAATAAGGGTGGGGTGTAGGTTTCTTCTTAAATTGCAGATACTAATTAACTGTTCGTGTTGTTACCAGCTGCTGTAAGAGCCACAGCCTTGAGCTTGTTATTCCAGCACTAAAACCAAATGTCTCATCCCTGTAGTGGAAACAAAGGTAAATTCCAACGAGCGCTCTGCGCATCATAACAACTGTAAATGATATTTCAATTCAGCTCAGACTTCTATCAATTCTCTCTCCTCTTCAGGCTTGCAAAAAAAATTCTGTTTCCTAACTCAAAAGACTAAGAACAATCCTAACTTTTACATCCAGTGACAGCAGCAAAATCTGCAGAAAAATAATTTATTTTGACTAAAGAGCAGTGAATTATGCACAGATAAGCTTTTATAGTTAAATTCTTATTTTCCTTGTAGAACCAAAGTACCCATCAGGAGTAAAGCACAGATATAAACAAAGGCCACAATTTTATAGAAAGTGCACACATTTCAATTGATATATCCAGTAGGCCTATTTGTGTTTCAAATTATGTCTGTGTTTAGTGCTTTGCAGGATCAGGGCCAAGACCAGACAGCAAAATACAAAACAGCAAAAGACTGAAGTAGTGCTTTCTGAGATCAGTAAAATATTATTTCAAAACTAGAGAAAAAAGAAATAAATATTACTTGCAACACATTCCAGTCCTGCACTGTCTTTATTAAAATGACTGTTATATTCCTGTATGGTGCATTTAAGGATGCAGACCAGAGTGCTCACTGTTTACCTTGCTGCCATGTCCAAAAGCAGACTTAAAATGTGATAGACACTCAACTACTTTTGAAATTTTTCAGATTTTTAAAATTTTCGAATCTTTAAAAGCTGAATTTACTAAGTGTTATTGAGAAAAAAAAAAAAAGTCTAGCCCATACCACCTGTGGAAAGATGGCAGGAGAGACACAGAACAGGAACATTAAATATAATTTGAAAAATAAAAGCATGACCTATTAGCCAGGAATACTATTTTAATAATTTTAAACTAGAACTATACCAGCAGTATATTTTATCTACTCAGTGGTAAAAAAGGAAGATAATTTATTTCCTCCCTCAGAATTCAAGACCTGTATTTTCCTGTTAGACAAACGACCAATATTCCAACCTTCACACCCGTCTTCAATAAACTGGAAAAAGGAAGGGGGAAAACAAATCCTTAGCCAGCTCACTGGAAGTGTGCAGTACAGAAATGTGCAATTAACTCGTCCTATCTTCAATTACAGCATTTTTGGCCTCAACAGCGGCTTTCAGGGTATCATTAAGTGTCACTCCAAGTGAAGCAGCAGCGCCCCACAGGCCCAGCCTGCGGAGCCACCGCGCTCTGTCCCCCACCGAGCACCCTTCCCTCGCAGGCCCTGCCGGAGGCTCCCCCCCCACCCGGCCGTACCTCGGGGCTCAATTCCCGGCCTCCGTCACAGTCCCAGAGGAAAACTGGGGCACATTTGGGCACGGGACCAGCGCATCCCGGGAATCCGGCCCGGGCCGGGCTCCCCCCGCCGCCCCCCGGCACCTCGGGCAGGCGGGCGCGGCCCGAGCGCGGCGCGGGTGCTGCGCATGCGCGGGCCCGGCCCGCCCCGGCGGCGGGCGGAGCGCGGGGCGGCCGCGCTGGGGTCGCTCTGGGGCCGCGGCTTCCCCTGTGGGTGTCCCGCAGCCTCTGGGGTTCAGTCGGGGCATCGGGCACCCCGCCTGTGCTCCCCGTCACCGCTCAGCTCAATCCCTCTGCCCTCAGCGGGTATCGGTCCCTCGGAGCCGGCTGCCCGCATGGCGCGGGGTGCGTTGAGGGCTGCACCGCGTTGTTTGCTGTAAAATGGGTGTGCTCGGTGCTTTTGCCCCCATCCGCGGTGGCTCCTAAGGACGCGTTACTTCGAGAAACCTCTGGGATGCGAAGTGCGTTTCGCAAAACCAACATTTACTCAGGCGCGTGTGATCGAAGTACTGGATGCTAAATATCCCGCCCCTCAAAACAGATAAAGGACCTGCATCTTGCTGCTGAAAGCCTCAAAAATCAACCTATGTTGCCAAAACTGTGGGACATCAAACTAGTAGTGTGATTTTGATTCGGGGTTAGGGTTCTTTGGTAGTTAGTTGGTGGTGGGACCTCGCCTGTGCGATTGCAAGGAGCGGGCAGCTGGTCGCAGCCGGAGTGGAGTTCGCAACTCGTGGTCCCTTTCCAGGAGCAGAAACTTGAAGGAGGCCATCGAGGGCCTGCGTTAGCTGCAGCAAGGTTTTGAAGTGCTGAAATCACAGAGTCGGTTGCGCTAGAAAAGACCTTTGAGATCACCGAGTCCAACCTTTGACCAAACACCGCCTTGTCAGCTAGACCACAGTGCCAAGTTCAGCCTTTCCTTAAACACTTCCAGGGACAGTGACTCCATCGCCTCCCTGGGCAGCCCATTCCCATGTTTGGACACTGTGAAACGTCACCGTTTTTCTGTGAAGAAATTATTCCTTATGTCCAACCTGAATCTCGGGAGAGGAGGCTGACACCCCCCCCTCCTGGCTACACCCTCCCTTCAGGCAGTGGAACAGAGCGATAAGATCCCCCTCGAGCCTCCTTTTCTCCAGGCTAAACACCCCCAGCTCCCTCAGCTGCTCCTCACAGGACTTGTGCCCCAGACCCTTCCCCAGCTCCACTGCCCTGCTCTGGACCTTCTCCAGCACCTCAGCATGGCTCTTGAATTGAGGGTGCCAGAACTGGGCACAGCTGTGGCCGCCCCAGTGCCAGAGAGAGAAGACAAAGCAGCTGCTGAGGTTATGTGGCCTATTTTCAAATGCACAGAACATCCCATTATTGTAATCTTGCCCCAGACTTTTGAAGTAGTCATGGAGAAGGCATACCCTTGCAGAATGGGCAAGGCTTTTGTCAAACCCAGCTCACACAGGAGTGTGTTTTTTGTTGGAGCAGAACAAGTCCTAGCAAATCTTGAAATTATTCTGCTCAGCAGCAGGTGGCAGGCTGGTTCCATTTTTGATCACTTGGGGCTTCATCAACTAAAAATACCTCTTTTATCCATAGATGGCACTTGTCTCGGGACGAGAGCTGTTCGGTGGTGTTGGGAGCTAAACGGTATCTCACGGTTCAGGAAACAACTACTGAAATTAAATCTTGTGCAATTCTCAATCATTAATTTCTGGCCTTGTCAAGATATATTGCGTAGCTATAGTGGTGCTCTGAAGAAGCCTTAAGCTAACACAATTTATTTTAGCACTAATTTATAGTACAGGAGATACGGAATGTTAACTGAATGGTATGCCATTGCTAAAAATGCCTAAACAAAATTAGGTCCTGAAAGATTTAGCTGAATAAAAATACAACATAAAATCAACACCTGTCCTGGAAAACAATAACATGAATGTTCTTCCCCTAGTAAAGTTTCTAAACCCCATATACAGAAAGCTTCTTATACACAGAGATTTTCTTAATGGTGCCTGTTTCTAATATAATAGGTTATAGTGAGATCAGTTGTAAATATCACATAAATATTTAGGTCAGTGGGAAATGAATTAAAGAATTTAATTTGAATTAAATGAAATGAAAAGTGTAGGTTAAGCATGACCTGTTAATGACTACAGCAATTATTATGTGGTGACACATCCACAGCAAACCAAAGATGACTAACCTATTTTTTGAGTTGGACTTTCTTACTCTAACAGCCCTTTTATCTTTGAACTTCCCTTCTACATCCACCTGCACTTGCCAACTGACTCTTTATGCTGTAACTCTGTTGTAAAGCACACAAGTGACTCATGACTTAAATATTTAATTTAAAACGTTTTTTATTTTCATAGACTGAATAGTAACCTTATTTTCCCTTGTCTAGGGACATAAATTATCTTCATTCCTATTGACAGAATCTCTTTCTTGCCACTGAAAATTAAAGCAGAATTTAATCATTTATAGCTGCTAGTGTCGGTCAGCCAAGTGGAGGACTGTGTTTATAATAAAATTGATTAATACATCATTAATCAATAATGCATAACTAGGCATTTATCCAAACCATGATAACCTAAACATTTAATTCTTCTAAACAGCAATAACATTAGAAGAGGTAGCACACATGAAAGGGAAACAGGTTTGGAGTTGGATTGGGATTATCTGAGATACCAGAGCCAAATTAATTAGTACCCTGCAAGCACACTGCATCTCTTGTTTTCATCTGTAACTATGAGTATTACTGTGCTTGCATTTTGTGCTTGCATTATCTTTATATTGCTCAAGTGAATTACCAAGTGAATTACTCACTGACATAAAAGGCCACATGAGAAGGAAGCCAAACAGGCATTTTTAACGTATTTTATTGCAAAATATGAACTATATTGTGCCTGTGTTTCTTCATGAAAAGCAATTATTTTGCTGTTAAAGCTGCACTAATTTTCTGTGATGTGCTGCTCTTGGAAAGTCAGTTCAGTCTGTCCTGTGTGACTGACCTACCAGTGTAATTACAGACCAGAATTACAGATCAGAAGCACACCTTGTTATGTGAATTTCTCAAAAAAGCGGGAAAATACAAAGCAATGAAATGTCCATTTTACACAGTACAGAGGTTCATATTTGCATGGCATTATGACACAAGGATGTAACATACAAAGAATAAGTAAAGTTTTCATGTGGGTTTCATTTGCTCTAAACTGATGGAAGATGTACTTTAAAAAAAAAAAAAAAGGCACTAATCTGATAATATCTTCACAGTGTATTAGATTCAGTGTGTACTTCCAGGTTATTAATGCACCATTCCTTGTTCTGTCATAATAGTAAATGATTGATGTTCAGGAAAGAAGTTACAAGTTGGGTCATTTCAGCTTTTCTAAGATATCATCTTGTGTTTTTTCAGAAGCATGAATATTTCCAGATGGAGAGTAGGGCTGTGTTAATGGAAAGGACAATTTACTTATACATTCACATAACCTTTTCATTATGAAGATCAGCAGACGTGGAAATGCTTGGCCCCATTTCCTGGCCAAAACAGCATCACTCTGCTGTTTACATTCTACCTGAGAGAAGAATGCAAATGTTGGCACTATTAATGTTCACAACTTAATTCCTTGTTGATGTCAGATGGAAAAAATCTAACACTCTGAGGTAAAAAAAATTATAAAGCTGTTTGGCATCAGAGGGGAATTCAGCCTTTCATTTTAGCATGGAGGCACAACAGGCAGGTCTGTCTCCAAGCAGACCAAATACTGTCCCTGTAATCATAAACACACATCCCCAAATGACTGCAAGGAAAAGGCTTACGGGGCTGAAAATAGCAAGAGGAGCGGCTGAACTTGGCAATCTGAGTTCAAATGTATCCTACTTCTGTGTTGTCTCATCCTGCTAAAGAAAGAGTGTTCTTCAGAGGTGACATGGTTTTGTCTGCAAAGGTATACAGAAACTGCAAGACAATTACGAAGGAAATAAACAACAACTGTTGCTTGCTCCAAATGTAAAGAGGTTTTTTAAAGATTATGTTAGTGATATTTTTAGGATGATGTCTTCTGGATTCTAGTCATAACTGATTTGTTGTGTAACATCAGCTGTGCCTGCCCTAATTATTCTTCTACCGACTTGATTAGTAGATGTGTTAAGATTGACATTTTTGCCTGAAAAAGGCTTGCAAGTTTTTAAATAGTACCAAACACATGCTTTGTACTCTCACTGAGCATGGCACATTTGGGGCACGACATAGCACAACTAATAAACAGTCCCAAATAATATTATCTCGGGTTTGTTCCTCTTTAATTGAGAAAGGACAATGAGGTGACAGTGAGACAAAGGTAGGTCGGTTTAAGGACAGTGGGAAAATTAAGTCATCTTGAGCAGCCTAATCAAGAGTTGTGGTATTTGGATGAGGTATAGTTATTATGATCCCTATATATGGTTAGAGGTGAGACAAAAATATGCAGGTATGAGCAACAAAATGCAAAACCAAGTAGAAATTAGGATTGGGTTTCAGTCTTTGCAATATTTCTCTTTGTACCAAAGCCACAAATATGCCCAGAAGCCAGTTCAAGGTCACAAGCTGCATATAATAATTAGATTCTGTTTTCCTCACTCAACCAAGTATCCCTGATTACAGGGGTGGTGGATGCCCCATCCCTGAAAACACTGATTGTCAGGTTGGATGGGGGGCCGAGTTACCTGATCTAGTTGAAAGTGTCTCTGCTCTTTGCAGAATAATTGTTCTAGATGATCTTTACAGGTCCCTTCCAAACCAAACTATTTTATGATGAAGCTTTGCATCCCATTTCTACCCTCTTCGGCCACAACCTGTGCTGAGAGCAGCACCCAGGCGGCTGCCGGCACCTTTGGCCACGGGAACAAATTCATAGCTCCACCCTGCTGCCTAGGCTCAAAGGCAGGAGCCCAACCCGGCGGCTTCCCTGGGATCACTGATGTAAGGATGAAAGGATCGGATCCAACCAAAGCAACCCAGCAGACACAGCACTTGTACCTCCAAAGAATAATTTGTCACTTAATCGTTTTCTTTCAGAAAGCCTGCCTGCCCAGGGGGAGGGGAGCCCTGTGGACCAGCAGGCTTTTG